AAGAAAAAAACCACAGACAAACATCAAACCTACAAGGGTTATGAATAATTTAGTTCTTAATTGTATATACATGTAGCTGGGCTATTAAGTTAAACTGCATCTAATCCAGAGTCGAGTTTCCATGCCTTTACATGAGAGGGCCTCATTGTTCATAAAACTGTCAAGCTGGATGTTTTACGAGGCTCATCAATCTTCCATCCCGTTATAAATTCATCAGAATTAAAATACAACCAATTTCCTTCGCTGTTGTCATTTATAATTGATATCAATTTATAGCGTCTCTCGAGTACATAAATAATGATACAGAAATAGGCAATCAATAAAGAGATATGCGGCTTTTTCTTCTTGGATACTGTAGCTATTGTAGTACTAAAATTAGTCTTTAAAAAAGAGAATGTTCTAAAAAATGAGCAGCAGATAAATGAGAAAATCTCATTCCTAAAAGATAAAACACTACTTTGTCTAGAGTCATTATTTTCATGAAATATACTAAACTTGATATTTTAAAATAATACAAAACAAAATTTGCTCATTCACACATCTAACCATCAACTAAAGGTATGAAGCATTAATTTTGTTCTTAATGGAATTATGTTTTTAAAAAGACATTCATGAAATTGCAGGTTTCTTTAGAAATTCCACCACTGCTATTCTTTAGATATTACTCCATGTGAAAGTAATTTAAATTTAATAAATTTTAATCTAATAATCAATTCTATTGTTTAAGGACAATGCTGTAGAAACAGTTATGGAAATGCAATCAATAATTAAATTAAATTCAATAATGATTTCTCGAGTATGCACAAAAGACTTTCTAGATTCCCTCTCAATAGTGTATCAGATAAGGAGCTTCAATTATGATATTGATCAATGTGAGACATTTCAAACAGACATACAGCTGTCGGTTTCATGATGTCACCTACCAGTAGACTAAAAAGTGCTTTGAATCTTGTATCCAAACATCAAAATTTGAATTAGTAACCACAGTACTAAAACAAAAAAAATATATTAAAGCCCATCTAGTTTGGACAGGAGGACAGGTCACTGGCAGGTGGTTATATCATTAAATCAGCTCTCAATTAACATAAGAAAAAGAGGATCACGGGGGACCAACAGGCACAGATTATGCATTGTTTGCTATATAGAGGGCAAAATTAGCGATCAGTAGTGCAGTGGGGCTTTAAACAGAGAGTAGAGACAGAAACAAATATTTTGTCCAAGTGCTGTTGTTATCCCTGGGAATGTAATCTAATCATGCAAGTAAAATAATCAAAAAAGAACATTTAAATAAGCACATGTGTACCTTATTGCTAAACTGGGTATACAAATACGGTAAGATTAAAAGGTGTCATGTATTTACTCAAAACTTCAGCTTTGTTTTCAGATTCAACAACGTTGCATGACACGTATCAAGGGTTCTGTTTACATCACAGCATAGGAGCACACAATGTGTGCAAATAAAATCTGATGGATCAAAGAGAGAGAGAGAAAGAGAGAGAGAGAGAATAAAGGGGAGAAACAGAAAAAAGACACATAGCGAGAGAGTGAAAAACAAAGGAGAGAAAGACAGAGATAGATGGAGAGAGAGAGAGAGAGAGTAAGAGAGAGTGAAAATGAAGGAGAGAAAGACAGAGATCGACGGAGAGAGAGAGAGAGAGAGAGAAGGGGGAGTGAGGAAGATAGAACATTGAACCTGAAGAAAAAATAACAATTTGTAAAGGGAGTGAGGTCTAACTAAATTAGGAAGGGGCAAAGGTATAGAACTACTGTATCTCATGTATTTGTTGTCAACAGCTATTAAATACATACATACGTACAAGTAGTACCTCAAGCTCAACTGCAGTTAATTCACTCTCTCTCTCTCTCTCATTCTCTCTCTCATTCTCTCTCCCTCTCTGATTATATCTATTCTTCTAAGATTCTCCTTCTTTTTGTCAGATTGTTCTCTTTCTCTCTGTCTTTATTTTTATCTCCACCCCCCTCTCTTTTGCCCTCCCTCCCTCCCTCCCTACCATCTCTCTTGCTTTAAATAGCAAGAAGCAAAGAAATCCATAACTTAATCTAATGTATGAAGAGCGATGGACATGTGTCTAGCACAGCCCTCTCTGACCACCATCAGCTGTCCAGGACTTATGTCATTATTCATGCATGTAACAGTCCACTGACAATATAGAACATTGACCTGTATTAACACCTCGTTATCGTTGCTGCGGCAGGCTAGCTATCCAATCCAATCCAATCCAAAAGATATTTGATATAGCGCCTTTTCCTTGCAGTTACAAAGCACTGCACACATGCTCGACAATGTTTGGGCCACTTAAAAACAAAAGTTAGACACTTCTCAGAGATCAGCAAAGTATATGTAGGCTGGTAATAAAGTAATTTCTAGCAGAAAAGATGTGACTTGAGTAGTTTCTTGAACTGGTCAACAGATGAGGCCGTCTGCACAGCAGTAGGTAGTTGATTCCACAGTTTTGCAGCAACCGATGGAAAAGACAATTCACCAGCATGTTTAATGTCTGTTTATGAAAATTCTAACTATTTTAGCTTTCACAGCAAAGCGAAGTGAAAATCCTCCGTAGCTTATTTGCACTGCCAAAGTTATCATGTAGAGATGTTGCCGACTAGTGGATAAGTCACAGGGCCATGGATCACAAGGTAAGGGGTTCAAATCCCAGCCGGGTACTAAAGCCCTTCGGAAAGACATTAATTTACATTTGCCACTCTCCACCCAGATTTACATGTAAATAGGTACCTGATATGTTTAAATACTAGTTACTTTGGAGGCTCAGCTATAACCAGAGTAATAATGATGCAGTGAAGGATACCGGTATGAGTTCTCTTTAAAGATGAAGTTGAGTTCTGGGCATGCGATTGCATTGTGAAAGAAACCGTGTGGAATCAACCAGAAAAGGTTGATCATCTAGCATATAAGAATGTGTGTGTATTGCAAGGTTTTGGAATCATCAAAATGATAAGAAATTCGGCCGAGTCTTGGTAAAGTTACAAACACTGTACACAGAAAGATGTATATGGGACTACACGAACATGTGGTGTAAAAATCCTACCCCGGAGTTTTACAATGTTACATGACATATTTAGAATATGGAGGCATTTGAAGAGCCATGCTTTTCAGGGAACATGTCTTATCTGATGTTCTTCCACACTTGCATAATAAGAATGATAACGCTCACAAATTATTTTTCACCTCTTCCCAGTACTCAACCTTCTCTTTAAGTTGCACTAATTGTTATTTTAAAGCAAATCTTCAAGAAACTGCAAAATATCCTTGCCTCATTTCAATCACTGAGGAGAAGAATTCACATGAATCATCAGTCCATATGGGCTACCTAAGTATGGCAATGTTTGGGCAAGCACCTACATGTCCTCTTGCCCGAATGGAGCAAACAAAGCACTGGGTCATGGTAAATACAGTGAAACCTGTATATAAAGACCATTCAAGGGAGACAAGAAAAGCGGTCTTCATAGACAGGTGCTGTTTATGTACCTGTTCCTTATTAGTCCATATGGGCTACCTAAGAATGGCAATGCTTGGGCAAGCACCTTGATGTCTTCTTGCCCGAATGGGGCAATCAAAGAACTGGATCATGGTAATTATAGTGAAACCTGTATATAAAGACCATTCAAGGGAGACAAGAAAAGCGGTCTTCATAGACAGGTGCTGTAAATGTACCTATTCCTTTAGTACATGCTTCAATGAGAAGCACTAGTCAACAGAAAACGTGGCCTTTATAGACAGTTGGTCTTTCTATATTCAGGTGGTCGCTATTAAACAGCAGGTTTTTTTCTGTATTTTGACCACGGTTCTCAAGACAAAATAATGATAATCATCACAAACAAACTTAACATTATAACGCAAACATTATACAGTATTTTGAACTGTTCAAACAATGTACAGTACGGCCGTGATCTGGCAAAAACAACGTATGTCTGTTTCGGTACTTCCGAGATATCAAAGATTTTGAATTTTACAGTTAAAAGTGTTTTCATTTCTCTCAATTCTTTTACTATGTAGGGTAAAATTGTTCAATAAAACACTTTCTTTTTCAATCTATCAATGATTTTGTAGAGATACGTTGTTTTGCCAGAACACGACTTAGTAGTATAAACCATTGATTACCATTAACACATTAGCACGAAATGGGTCAACAACTGGGCTGTGTCTCTCGTCCATGTACAAGGCAGTCACTAATCATTCACATTGCAAATGAATTAGTAATAACATTTCCTTTTGCAGAGGAAAGATTGAAAAGAAAACCTATTATGTAACCTGGGCTGAATACAAAATCATACAATAGCCATGTATAGACGGATCTTTAAAAAACTATGAATTATATTAGCAGAAACACAGAACATGCTAGAGTTTTGTTTTTCCCCAAAATCATGAAATGTAGAAAAATAACATACATGCATGTACATTGGATGTTAATAATGAAAACCACTTTGAAGAAAAAAAAGTTTATTACAAAGCATGAGACAAAATGAATTAGGTTCTGTTTGATGAGTATGCATTAAATGGTTTTAAACAATTTAAAAAATGAGGCAATTGAAAAACAAAACGAAACTGACAAGTTTAAAAAATAATCAGAAAATGGGTTGCTCCCTTCATAACGAAATGTTAAATTCAACAAAGAGGCTCAACATCGTCTTCAGAAAGACAACAAACTGTAGGAAATGTATAAAGAAGCATGCTTTTTCCTGGGCAAAACGAAGACCCAACAAACAAAATATCCCCACCTGAGAAAGTAGTTCCCTGCAAATCTGTTCTACCCCTACGCACGGCTATGCCGAATCCATCCCTTCCTCCTCCTCTCCCCCTTCCTGGACCCCTCCTCCACCGCTTTCCTCTTCTCCTGCGGTTACGCTATCCTCTAATTTGCTCTCATCCTCATCCTGCGTTGCATTGGCATTTGACGGCTCCTGCTCTTGGTTACCAATGGTCTGACCTGATGGTTCCTCTGCAGCAGGTTCAGCTGCTTCAGAGGTTTCTTCCTGGAAATTTGCATCTTGGACTTCCTTGACTTGTCCTTCTGCATCATTCGCATTTTGAAACTCTTCCACTTTTGCATCTTGACTCTGTTCATCAGCCTCTTGAGTTGGCTCATCGGCTTGCAGGCTTTGTTCGGCATTTGCACTTGGGTCAGCTTGTGAGGGTGTGAACTGCTCCTTTTGATCATCAATGTCACCTGGTGTTTCTGGCTTCTGATCTTGGTCATCTTCACTTGCTTGCACAGTGAGATCTGGACATTCTGGTGTTTTGACCTCAAACCCTAAGCCACTGTCTCGACCCTCATTCTCATCACTCATTTCCCTCTTTGCATCCCCACTATGGCCTTCTTCTTGAGCTTGTTCCATGGCAATCGCCCCCTCCTCCTGCACCTCCAGGTCTAACTCACTAGTTTCTTGGACCACCTCAGTTGCGTCCTGAGGTTGATCTTGGACTGTCTCCTCTTGCTCTTCAGCCAGACTTTGATCAGATGCAGTATTTCCTTCTCCTTCTTTCCTCTCTTCAAAACTAGCCTCTTGAGTATGACTAGTCTTATCTTCTTTGTCAGCATTGCTCTCCTCTACAGGTTTGGCTTCGTCTGTAACCAATGGACTTTCATTCTGTTCTTCACCCTCTCCAGGATCCTTTGACTCTTCAGAAGCATCACCTTCTGCAACAACATCTTCCACCTTGTCCACTTCAGTCTGGCCCCCTTGCTCTTCAGCTGCCTGAACTTCAGTCTCCACATTCTCTTCTGCACTGGCTACTTCTTCAATTTCAACAGGTTCTGGGGCATCAGGTTCAGCTGCCACACTCTGTTTCGAGGACCTGGCACTTGGATCCTTTGCAGCATGATCTTCCCCTTCTGCTTCTTTGCTTGCCCCTTCATCTGCAACAGAACTTTCATCAGCAACGCTTTCACTGCCACTTGGTGCAGCCTTGATAGCATCATCAGGCACTTCGTCTTGGCCCGATGCTTGCATTTCATCATCTTTGCTCTCTTTTTCGACAGTATCCGCTTCACCGGGTTCTGCTGCCACACTCTGTTTCGAAGACCTGGCACTTGGATCCTTTGCAGCCTGATCTTCCCCTTCTGCTTCTTTGCTTGCCTCTTCATCTGCAACAGGACTTTCATCAGCAACGCTTTCACTGCCACTTTGTACAGCCTGGATAGCATCATCAGGCATTTCGTCTTGGCCCGATGCTTGGATCTCATCATCTTTGTGGTCTTCGTCGGTATCCGCTTCACCCTTAATGTCCCCTTTAATACCCCCTTCAGTATCTTTAGTGGTATCACCTTGAGATGTTACTGTGGATGGGGGAGGGGTAGGAACTTTATCTTGTGCAGAGGTAGTACTGGCCTTTGGCTAGGGGAGGGGAAATGGTGCAGTTAGAGAGAAATGAAAAGAAAATAGAGTACAAGGAAAGTACATACATAGAATGTGCATACATGTACATATAAGTGAAAGAATGAAAGAAGTTACAGATATTATTTGAAGAAATGAATTTTTTCGAAAGTTCAGGTCATGATATGTTATTACTGCCCGTTCATACATGCGTATAGCATTTTACCATCCATTCTTACACATTAAAAAGAAGAATGAAATTTGTTACATAACAAAGTGATGATAGGGAATTTTTTACACATTCAGGATGTTACAATACATCTGTGTTTATCAAATCAACATTGAGAGATGTAGAATGTAGAAACACAGTTTACCACCAAGTTAACTCGAAAACATGGCAGATAAGATGCAGTGATAGTGAAATATACTGTTATGATTTAAAAAAAATTACACATCTTATCCACGTAGGTACAGTGTAATATGATTTGTAGCAGCAATAGGTTTGTAAATGTAGCATTCCCATATATTGTATGAGATATTTTTTTTAAATACTGGATGTAACAGTCAGGATTACACTTTCACTGGAAAAGTTACATGTATTTAGTCAGTGATATGACAATTATGTGTAGATGATACATGCCTGATATAGTAGTGTCTACAGTTCAAACGAAATGGCAGGACTACAATAATCTTGCTCAAATGTTGTCAATATATATTTTCATAAGAGAAAAACATTTCATTTCTTGTATGAAAAGCAGGGTGAATGAGATTGGTGTTTGTTTTTGTGATTTTTTAATAGGAAGCTTAGTGAAATGTGGTGGCACGAAATGTCCTGAACTCATGACAGTTGGAAATATTGGTCCATGAAAAGTTGTATAATGAACATCTAATTGACATTCTTTTGTAATATTAAGTCTAATGAAGGTAGTAGAAATATGTATTAGTCCCATGTCCTAAAAATATGGTTCCATCACAATGGCATGAAAGCATAATTTCAAAAAAATATGCATTTTGTGTTCTGGACGCATCTTTTCATACCATTGTATTTGTTAAGCTACCTTAAGTTACGTACACCTGTATATGTGATATTGTACATTTGTCTGCATTTATTTTTTTGGAGGTCTCTTCTTCATTATTCTTTAGCATGCGAAAGATAGCATGACACACAGCAAACCAAGGAATATATTGCATAGATCTTAACCTCTTCACCTTTTCCATACATTAGCTGACATGAGTCAATGAATAGACATGATGCATTAACCCAGTTTAGCTGTATGATAAGCTGCCATCTGGATTATTTCTACAAGATAGTACTAGATTTAGAATCTCTTGCTATCATGTAGGTCACTTTAAAAGGACATTTGTTTTGAAGGAAGAAGGATCTAACATTGTATCAGTGTGCTGAAAATATTGAGACACCAAACATGTGGGATATACTTTAAATCAAACAGCATGTTTTGTTACCAAAGTTCCCAATACCTAACAAAACCATTTGCAATATATATTCTTAGGGTTAAACGTTTTCACTCACATATATTCCTGCCAAATTAGTAGCTGTATTATGCTGTTAATAATCAGTTTGCTGTGCACCCATTATCAGCAATGCAGGCCTTGAATACAATCGACTCAACACACAGGATTTTTGCTGTGAAGTCCCACCAAACGATCATAATTAATGCCCCTCTCAAACTTCATCAAAACTTATGGCCACACTTTAATCAATCTCTTGTGCTATCATGACATTGGTTTGGGCTTTTGTTTCCCTGTGAGGTCCTACCCAGTAGACCGGTTTACTAACATATTCAAATCAATGGATGTTTCTTTCCTGGGGACCTAGCGACGAGTTATTCCATTAACAAGTTCTTAACGAATGAGCTACAATACTTGGAATCTAGTCTGCATACAATGTTTGTTGCTATGTCCGGCAAGCCTAACACAACCTTTCCTAGTTGTCACAAACAACCTTTGTTTAAACTGTATGCATAACATTTTTAATATGCTAGTAAACCAGTCTACTGCCAAAATGCCCTCTCAAAATTAATCAAAACTTAGGGCCACTTCAACCTTTCACTTTTACTCATTGAAAACAAAATTGTTCAGACTTCATGGTCGCCTGACTGGCCCTAAATGGCCTGCCTCTAAAATCATGACGTTTAAGGCCTACATTGCTGATAAATGGATGAGAAAGGGTGAATGCCATAGAGTAGGCATGGTGAATATGATATACAGTTGCAGATAATGTCTTTGTGCGATGGAGAGAATTGAGCCACATCAAACCAATCCTACCTTGTTTATGAGTGTATTAAATCTTTATGATGCTGTTTCCTGTAAAAAGAAGGAATGGCGATTACACTGTTTGAATCAGGATCGATTTGTTGGCTTAAAATCAAGATACTTTCTGAGGGTAAACATGTACATGTAAGGATGTTATACAAGATGATTCGTTATCAGTTTCATTGGCATTAGCTCAATTCAGCTGTCTTGATTATGAAGTCTCTTCACTGTGCAACATGAATATTATGTTCCAGCGTCAAGAAAGTAAAGTTCTAAATTTCAAGCTTTTTTCTATGGCACCATAAAGATTTACTATTTACAATTTTCTATAAAGAGTAAGTCCAAGGTATGTCGTCGTTTATGTTAACATCATCATCGTATTTCCTAGTATCCACAAATATTGGATCGTACTAAACAACAAGGAAAATTGGTGGTTGGGATTACAATTTTTCATTCATTTTTTTAGTTTGGTAACATATAGGTCAGAAAATGTCTAAATACTTTGAACAAGCCCTTTAAAAACAATTTTTCTAAAAATCTAGATTGTAGGAGTGAGATGATCAATGTTCATTACCTCTGCCGGTGCCTCTGTCTGTTCTGTCTCTTCTGCCGGTGCTGCCTCTCTTTCTGCTGGTGCTGCATCTCCTTCTGCTGGTGCAGCTGCATCTTCTTGGGGTGCGTCCTGCTCAGTTTGTGGTGCCTCTTCTGCAGGTGCCTCTCCCTCTGCCGATGCCTCTCCCTCTGCTGATGCCGGTGCAGCATCACCTTGTGTAGCTGCCTCTTCTTGCTGCGTCGCTTCAGCTTCAGCTTCAGCAGGGGCATCCCCCTCTGCCTTGGGCGCCTCCTCGGCCTGCCCTGCATCAGCCTCAGCCGGCGCTTCTCCGTTTTCAGCCGGTGCCGCCTCTCCCTCCTGAGGCACATCCTCTGTGGCTGCTGGTTCTGCGGCTTCCTCCTGTGGTGCTTCGCCTTCTGTCGGGGCTGCTTCATCGCTTGCCTCACTCTTACCATCCTTCATTTGTTTTCTAACCATCATGCCCTGAGTGTGAAGGGAATTATTGGAGAGACCATTACCCAAGTGGACAAAGTTGGAGTGCAAAGTGTGACGCTTAATTCTAAACAAATGATATTGTAATTCTGTGACAAGCTGCATCACTCTAATTTGAGAACAGACTACAAAATGTCTGTGACTTGAGCTCTTTCTGATCATGTATATTGTGTAATCCCTAGCATTCTGAATCAAAAGATAATGCAAAAACTTCACTAAAAGTTACTATACTGCTATGGGTTAATCACAGTTTGATATCCCATTTATTTTCCTTTCATAAATTCCTGGTAACACGATAACACAACAAAGATGGACAGTGTGAGCAGATTCTTCTTTCTCTTTCTGCTTCTGTAATCTGATATACTTTTAGGGCTCAGATTCACAAGTTCTTGAGCCAAACCACAAAACCTGAGCAACTGTGTCGGGGGGTGTTTCACAAAGACTAAGATCAACTTAAAGTTGGCCTTAATTATGGCAGGCCGTTCATGCCACTGGTTGCTCTCGCCATTATGATCATCAGATATTATTTTCTCCTTCAATAATGAATTATCAAAAAATGTAAATTCCGTAGATTTGTGACCATGAATCGTACGTCCCGTGCCAGTAAATGGTGAGAGCAAACAGTGGCATGAACGGCCTGCCATAGTTAAGTCCAACTTAAAGTCGATCTTAGTCTTTGTGAATCACCCCCCCTGGAAAGATAATTTTTTTCTTCTATTTTGATCAAACAGGGCCCCATCTTTATAAAGAGCAGATACTAATAGCAACTTATTTGTGACCGGAATCAATCGCAGCTATGTACATGGCAGATGCAATACTGCGAAATTGCGATTGATTGGATGACTTGCGATTGGTTTGGATCAATCGCAACTCTTTATAAGATGGGACCAGGGGTCTGTTTCATAAAAATTGTTATCTATAACCACTGCTAAATTTCTATGACAAATTTGCTCTCGGCCAATAAGATGCCATGATTTCAGTAGCTTATAACAGTAGCTGGTAACTTGTTATTGATATCAAGTTTTATGAAACAGGGCCCAGAACTTATCAATTTCTGTACCTTGAAGCCAGCTTGGATCTTGGCTGCTGCATCTTGTACCTCAGGGTCATTCAGATCGATATCAACCTCTTCTTCCTCTTTCTTGGGTTCCTCTGCGGCAGGTGCTTCTGGTTCATCTGTTGCCTCTGCTGCCTGCTAATGATTAAAAAAAAGAAACTGATGAGTTACAAAGAGTCAGGTAGTCAAGCATGATACAGGGTTCCCACAGAAATTTGAGAACCAAATTTGATAGCTTCCCATGACTTTTTATGACCCATTTTTGCCTTTTTGCCATGACCAGATAATTACCATTTTGGTAGGCTTGCGGCATCATAGCAGCATACAAATTTTCAGTTCAAACTGGAAGGTTGCCATAGCCACACCCAGCCCACAGACAAGATAGTTTCCATCATTTTCTACGACTTTGGGAGATTTGTTTTCCTTTTCCATGACTATCCAGAAGAATATATTTTTCCATGACTTCCAAGGTTTTTCAATGACCGTGGGAACTAGTGTATACACCACAATACTTGGGTACTGGTGTGCCCTTTATTTTTTATAGTCAATTAAGGGCCTGTTAATACTGCAAAACAAAATTACATCAGCTCAGTACACTTCACAAATGTGAACCTTCTAACACATAGATAAAGATAAGTATGCTTGGGGACCTTTGTTACATGCAGCTTTTTAAGTTCAACTCCACTTGCTACACATTAACCCAACTTTTATTTTTCTCTCACTTTTTTAATGGCAGTTTAAAAACCACATGAATAAGGCCGAATGAATGAGTTGTTACAGTTTGCCATGTATGTTGAGGAATGATAATCTACGTTATTGTGATAAAAGAAATGATAATCCTTGAAACACAACAAAATATTTAAAATACTCATTCAAAAGATTCAGGTAATCAATGTCATAATTTAATAGTTTTATTTTTGTTTTCAGAGCAATTATTTTCATTTCGTTTCAAAATCAATGTCCATCGATCAGTTTATTTTAAAAAGCAATTTTCATATCCGAGGCACTTTCTGCAAATGGCGCAGAAGTTTATCACATTTTAATAAATGACTATGAATTTCTTAAAGCCCCACTGTACTACTTGTAGCTACTTGCTCCCTCTATATAGAAAACAATACCTAATCGGTGACCATTGGTCCCCCATGATCCTCTTTTTCTTATGTTAATTGAGAGCCGAGTTGATGAGATCGTCAGTGACCACCATGGTTGGTCTAATCCCTCCTAGCCAAACTAGTACAGACGCCCTTAACCCTTACTGTACTGGGCTATTTTGAGCACCTCCTGACTGGGGGGGGGGGCCTGGGAGGCCCCCCCTATGATCTCGGCCGTCGGATGTCCGATGAACACGAAAATTTGCATGTTTGTAGATATTTACGTAACGAACAAGATGGTGTAATTAGTTTTTTGCGAATATGCAAATTTTTGTCGTTATAGCCTAATTAATTATGCAAAATGCTAATTTTATGCATTTTACAGAAAACGTGTCAAACTTCACTTTTTGAACGTTGAAACTCATTATTCATATGAAACTTCTTTTCTAACACAAAATATTTATTTGGATGTAATTAATAATGATAATTTATGCAAATTTGATGCGATTTTCAAATATTTATTTTCTTATGTATTTTATTGTTTTTTTATTTCTTATTATATCTATTGTTTTTATTTCTTATGTATTCTTTTGTTCTGGAATACATCAAGTTACTTTGAGAAACATATAAAAGCAATTCGATATCAATTCATATCACCCACTTAGGAAGGAATACATCTAAACCTGTATTCACATTTCTGCTTGTACATGAATATATGCAATTATAGCATATTTTTGATGACATGCGCATACTAATTGTTATGTAACACCTCACAGGTATATCCGATTGCGACGAAAATGGTATCAAAACGTGGGTAAGACTTGAGGGAAAAAAGTCATGAAACGACAATTCAAAATTTCAAGCGGTTGCGGCGCAATCTCCGAAAATGTCGAGGGGGGGGGGCCTCCCAGGCCCCCCCCCCCAGTACAGTAAGGGTTAAAGCAAACCACTTACCGGTTCGTCTGTTTTGGCTTCTGCCTCAGCAGCTGGGGCTCCCTCTTCGGCTGGTGTCTCCTCTTTTGCTCCGTCCTTCTTTCCTTTCCTCACCATCATGCCCTTGAATCCGGCCTGGATCTTGACTGCCGCTGCCTGCACCTCAGGATCCTCGAGGTCGATATCAACCTCCTCCTCCTCCCCCGCTGGAGCCGCTGGTGCTTCTGTCGTCGAAGCTTCCGTCGTTGAGGCATCTGCAGGGGTTTTGCTCGGGCTGTGACGTTTCTTCAGCCGGTTTATCTGTCTCCCCGCCATCGCCTGCTTCCTGTTGGCTCGGTTCTGCCGGTTCGGTCGCCTCACCCGTCTGGGAAGGGATCAAGAATAAACGATTCTGACATTAATTTGATGACACATAAACATTCCATTTTAAGTTCTCTTTAAAGTTCTTGTTTAGACCATTATTTGCATGTTTTGTCCAAGGAAACAAATTTGAAGGCAAATTTCTATGTGAGCTGGCTTCTCTCACTTTTCCATTGAAGATCACTTTAAGCTCCCTTTCATTTTTCACATTTCCTACTATATTTTCTTTCTGAATGTACTTATTTTATTTCCTCCCTCTCTCATTTTTCTATGAGTGTTTCACAAATTTAATTAACATTTTAAAAAATAAGAGAACATTTCAGCTTGAAAAAAACAACAGCACATTGACAAGAAGCTTTTAATAAGTTACCAGATCTTACCCGAAAAACATATTCCAATACATTAATGACCAACTCAAGAAATATTCAAAGAAATAACAAAGAATTTGTTTCTTCTTTAATGCATCTGTAAATCACTTCCTTGTGTCTCCAACACTATCAATTGAATACCTGTGAATTTGCAATTGAATCTTGTTAATGCCAACAGATGGGTAATAAAGGGTCTTATTGAGTAGGAATATTTTTAATATGAGTAAAATTGCTGTTGGAGTCGTGGGTTTTGTAAACAGTCTGGTTCCTCTTCAGCACCCAACTTCCCCTTTTTTTCTTTTAATAGGCTGGGAATCTTAAAATAGATCATCAAGGTGTTAGGACTGAAATACCTTTAATTCAATCAAGAAGGAGAAAAAATGGAGCCCCCAATATCCAAACATGAAATGATTCATCATCCAACTCTTGTGCCGCGTTCATACATGATAGGGGAAACTTCCTTAAAACTGCAAAGGCAAATAATAAAATAGTAGCCAACCACTTCTATTTTTGGAGGAATGATTCCTATTTTTGAGCCTTTATTAAACTCATTGGTATGAAACACAGATTTCTCTCTTTCTCAAAGCTTTTGCGTAAAGATTATACAAGACTGAATTCCTAATTGTTGTCTCGAGGGATTCCTAATTTTTCCGGTTGCCAGGTATGCATACAAATCAGAAAGTGCTACAAATATCTGTATTTTACAATACATACATGTATGAGCATGGTTACAGGCCGTTGCTACATGAAACTACATACATGTACATTCCAACTCCACCCCTCCCTCTTCAAACAAGCCTTAATGGTGTTTATTCTTTTATGTCCAGCAGTATTTTTCAAACTGTTTCACGTATCATATGTGAATGAGGCTTTATGGACAAAAAATAACAGCAGAAGAGCATGTGGTCTTACCTTTAATTAGTTTAAATGACTGAAATTTCAGTACTTACTTCCCTCCTCACACAGAGGTGAATTAATATGTGCAAGCCATAATGAGATTGAGTATAATCTTGTGACATTCGTTATGAGAACAGGTTGCTATGGCTACGAGCAAAACATCTGAAACCACATTCAATCTTTCATCTTTTCGTTTTCAACAGAATGAAATGAAAAATTGATACAAGTTAGGGAAAACTTTACTTACAGTATGCTCTTCAAGTTACGCAGAGAAAATTTCGGAAAAACTTTCATTGATGCACAATAGTGAAATTATTAATCTCATGGGAAAATTTAAGAGCATTATAAAAGAGCAAAAGCAATTGCATAGCAGCCAATATGAAACGTTATCTGTCCACCCTCATACCAAACCAAGCTACAATTTTCTTTCTGCATCTTTGTTATCAAAATGGACCCCCACTTTTACTTCTTTAAAATCCCTACCAAAGTGGTCTTTCAGTATTACATCAGGTTTATTGTGCTGGTGGGATCAATATATTTGCCTTGAAATACTTATTTTCTCCATTACTTTGTAAATTTGAAAATTCAATGATAAACCGACATATGAAAACTTCTTAAATAATGAGCACCGATTTAAAACCAATCATACAGGTAATACTTTAAATACAATAATATGTTTTCAAGGCCAGAGTGAATCTATGATTTTGATATGTGTTTTCTTTCCTTTATTTGTTTGCTTTTTGTTTGTTTGTTTGTTGTTGTTAAGGTTTTTTTAGGGGGTGGAGTTGCAGGGAGGGGTGGTTAACCCCTGATACCATGTGTGCCCAACAACAGGCAATATTAATAAATCTACTTTTATTTCATTTCAACCGAATTTCCTTTTTCCCAGACATCCATTTCCTTGGTTGAGAATACCAGATTTTCTTTATCTCTTTGGTTCTATTTCAATGTGAGTGAAAGTTTGTTCAACCCGTTCTCCCCCAAAGCGTCACATGACACTGACTCTCTTAACCTTATTTTTCCCCATGGTATTATCAGGGTTAAGCAGTACGTCTGGTTTTTACGATCCCTCTGTGACCATGCGCCAGCCTCAAGTTATTTCAGGTAGAGTTTTAATAAAGTTTTACTGGAAATCAAAACCACAAATTCAATTTCCTGAGAGGGAGTGGCACGTTTTCTCCAACATGTTTGCCAAGATTTCTTGATCATATTCCACAGAAATGGAAAATTTTGCCTTTATATTTTTTTACTTTAAAGGTACCATAACTGAGTTAAGATCTGGAGGTACAGTGTCATCTTTTAGTGATGTTTTGCAATTTATCTTGATCAATTATGCCATGAGTTCTACATGAGCAGAAATAAAATATATGACAGATAATTTGAAGCCCTTTCTGTATCAGTACTGTATATTATGTAATCCATGGATAGGAAATTTCAAATGAAATTGAGCATCTAAATGTTCTTCCTTGTTTAATATTTTGCTATAGTTCACAGACATAGATTTTATATCTTTCAATTGCTTTGTTCAAGCATGACACAGTTAACCTCAGTGAGGGTTTTTTGTTCTCTTTCTTTTCATGAAAATTAACGAAAGTGGGAATAAAAATATAATAAAACTGTATGCTCTAAAGTTCCTATACTGTATGTGCTATGAATTTAATCAGAAACGCATTACGCATAATTCTGCTATAGCAATTTATTGTGGTATTGTGAATGAAGTTATACCATGTTATGAAATATTGTTGTTGGAATTTAGGGATTACATCCTTACCGTTGAGGAATCTGCTTTGGCTGACATGTCTTTTCTCGTCTTGAAACCTTTGAAAGAGGATTGGATTTTGATGGCGGCTTTCTCGACCTCCGGATCATTAAGGTCAATGTCTATTTCCTCTTCCTGTGGCTGCTCAGGTGCATCTGCTGCAGGCTCTTGTGTGCTGCCCTCTGTTGTTGGTTCAGCTTCGCCATCCCTGGAAGAAAAAAAAAATGTATCCATTGAAATAAGGATAATTAATAGAGAAGCTACAAGTCAAAACATGAAATACTTATAAAAATACTAAGGTCAATTTATCATCCACACATTTTCCCAAATTAACACATTAACTCCCCCCCACCCCCCCCCCCCAAAAAAAAGTATATTATCTTCATTAAAAAAACACTTTAAAACAAATAACTATGAAATTGCTTTTCAAATAATATTTTAATATCGATTGTGAAACAACCATTAAATATATGCTTGTTGCCATTATTCAGGACCCCCATCTCTGAAAGAGCCAAAGTTGATTTGAATTGATTGCCATTCCTCCAATCAATGTCAAATTTACAATATCCAATCTCGTAAAGTACCCAGTTGCGATTGATTTCAAGTTATGATCAATTAATGATCAATCACAACAGGGCCCGAATCTATCTGTCTACTATAAAGAAGGGATCTTAAAGACTTTAAAAGTTTGGGATCATGTATAATTAAACTGTGAGCAAGGCTCATCATACTTTGTTGTTTGAGAAGTGACGATGGAAGAATAATAAGTTAAATGCTTGAAATGGAGCTTAATTTTCTCGACAAATGGTCAAAATAATACTCTCCTCCCAATCTAAAATTTTCTTTCTCAGAAAAGGGAATGGAGATGAAAATAGAATGAGTATTTCCTTCTCTCAATTTCTTATCATCGCAAAAATTTTTAATCAAAGCAAAATTCAAAAGAAAGAAAAAAAAAGGAGGGACAACTTTATCATCAAGAAAAACAACCAACGTGCATTGAAACAAGGTGAAAACTTAACAGAGTGCATCAAAAGATCATATTGTTATAAAATATTATGATCTATAAAAATGATAAACACTTCAAAACATGCAAAATATATTTCAGCCTTTCCAATATCAAATTGCCATGTAAATATATTCTCTAGGAAAGGTGTTGGCTTTAACATGTGGGTGCAGGCAGTGCTAAGCAGTGCGGGCAATCAAATACAATCGTAGGGTGAGAGAGGCTAAAAAAAGTAATCAAGGGAAAACACAACAACCTTGAAATCGTGCAATTCTTATATTTACAATTTGTCTCATTGCATGGGAGGGGTGCTAGTAATGAGGAAAAAATAGCATTAATTATGTTCATCTTAGAATGAGGATAAAAGCCAATAAATTGTATACATTTTACTTTGAAAGAATCATGCAGGATCAAATAGTTTTGTTTTTTTAAGAATTTTTGTAAATATTTTTTTATCGAGGTCATGCAATTTTTCTGTTATATTTCATATTTCATTTTAATATATCCCTACTTTCAAAGTTCTAGGAAAATATGATAAACTTTATCTTTCAAGAACAAAACATGTTGTTAAAATCATTTCATGAAAAGATGTAAAGAAATATAATTCCAACTTTGCAACAGTGTATGTTACATGATATCTGGCTAGGGCTAAAGGGAACTCTGTAATCACTTCAGGGGGATGTTTCACAAAGACTATTTAAAGATCTACTTTAAGTTGGACTTAACTATGGCAGGCCATTCATGCCACTGGTTGCTCTCACTATTGGTCTCTCAATTATAATCTTCAGATAATCATTTTTCCTTCAATAATGGACTATCAACAACAAAAAATCCTGAGAAACCAATGCCAGGAATGGTTAAAGGAATTAGTGGCATGAATAGCCTACCAATGTTAAGTCCAACTTAAAGTCGATCTTAGTATTTATGAAACACTTCCCAGAACTTTACTCGATCCTTTCCCTCATAAAAGTAAGATTAAAAGAAAAAAAATCAAAGCAAACAGTGTTAGACGCACTTCAAAGCATGAACACGCTTCCGAGCCTCATACCCCCGATACGCAGCCTGGATTGTGACGGCCGCATCTTCTTCTTGTGACGGTTTCGCTTCGGGGTCGGGTCGTGATGAGTCTCGCGACTGGTGACCTCTGACCGCTGATTGGATTTTGACGGCCGCCTCTTGCTGCTGGGGGTCACTGACATCGCCAACGTTACCATTCTGTAGTGATCAGGAACAAGCAGATTGAATTTAATATCAAAGTGTTTATTGTTAGCATTAAAGTTTACCAATGATCACAAAAACATGTTTTACTCTTGATGTTAAAGGGATCAGGTAAATTAAATTGTCTCAGATTCTGAAACAAAATCCTGAATTTAGCTCATGCTGCAATCATAATTATATACCTTTAGGTCAGTCAGGAACCCCATAAATTGTATAAGCCGATCGCCTGTCTGATTATCAAGATATTTACGATTGGAAATCAAAATTTCAAAAATCATTTTCCTAACGGTTTTTATAACACTACAGTCTATTGGGGGAAATGACTACCGGTATGGTAAAACCGGTCACCCAAAGATTTTTACTTTTTTGAGGCACTTCATGATCATTTTTAGACAAATCTTTTTTAGAGCTTCAATATTACACCATATCGCAGACGATGATAACACGTAGGGCCATGCATCTTAGATTTAACATTGTTAAACGATGCCTTTAAGGTGTTCCATGTTGCCACACGATATTTAGAACATGAGCTTCAAATATTGTATCTTTGCAAGTTACACTTTTTATCTCGATACCAAATCTTTACCTCTGAAATTTCAGCTGTTGAGGTCAAAAGTTTAACTTTCCAACTTATGTATTACCAAATAATACTGATGTGATGAACTTTCAGGATTGTAGTTTTAAATATTATTTCTTCAAAATGATAATGGCAGTTAAATTACTAATTGTTCAGTAGACTAGTCCATATACACGTGTAATGCTGGCTGGCATGAAATATGGCATGCATGGAAGCCCAATAAGACTTGGGATATATGTGTGCAGGGTTTTTATCTTCTTAAACTCCACACCCTTTAACCTACAGAATGCCTAGCTAAAGTTTTTTTGGGGGGGTTGATTTCATGTATTCTAGCTATTCACAAATTATATTCTCAGGTGATTGGTAAACTTTAAACCAAAATTAAAGAAAAATACTTCATATGGTTATTTATTCCTTCTGATGGCAACAAATCCTATATAAATTGAATGTAGTAAGTTGTGCTTGGACTCAAAATGATACAAATTTGGTACAATGCATTTTGAAGTGGATACATCTCCAGACTGTGAACCACAAGGTACAGGGTTTGAATCCATGTCACAGCACTCTAATGTCCTTTGGCAAGACACAAAATCTAAGTTTGCCACACTCTACCCTGGTGAGGTAAATGGGTACCTAGCAGGAATTAATTCCTCAAAATTCTCGAGCCCTGTAATGACACCAGTGCTAAAGCTGGGGTAATAATAATGGAGCACCAGAAGTGGCAATTATGCCAAGCATGAGCGCTATACAAGACTCCACTCACTGTATTTATTATTATTATTAAGATTATTATGATTGGAAGTTCATTTCTAGGCTATTTGGGGGAAATGATGTGGCACACAAGGGGAGGAGGAGGAGGGGGAGGGGGAGAAATTTGTGTTAAATCCAAATTTTTATTGATGATACTGACCTGGAAGGCTTTGTTGTTGTAGTAACGGTCCTCATGTCTTGCTCCGATATCTGCCGGATCGATACCTTGCTCTGAAAAAGAAGAAAGAAAAACAAAATGTCTTGATTGTTACAAGATTCTAGACCCATCATCAGAATATATATTATTACTCTGTATAATTCGGTTTCCATGTTAGTACACTCTGCTTCAAATATTACTTCTAAATACTGAAATTACTCTTTAAAAAACATTGTGACTTTTAAGTAGACTACAAGTAGTTAAAATAATTCTGTACCCACTTTATTAAATGTTGACAAAATAAAATTCTCCCATTATGCTACTTTATTTCATATGTGAAACAATGTAAATTAGAAGACATCAAATCGAGTTGATGTCTTCTAATACATGCATGCATATAACAAATTACATTTTAGTAGTTATTGGTCCTCTTTCAATGCTAAATACCATGTACTGTAAGTTGTACATGTACATGTATGTTGTCTGGTGACTGTCAACTAAACCGATACACAATTTATACGCAATCCACATACATGTACATTGTACACATCCATGAACTACAGTGCAATATTCTCTGATGTTTATCACTATTCCTTTCAACAATGTCTTAATTCTCCATTTTGATAAAAACTGAACTCATTAACAAGTTCTGGAAACACTATTAGTTCAGAATAATCCACCAGACAAGTACCCCTAATAGCCAAATCTATTTCTTTCCTTATTCTAATATTTCCCAAGCTCCATTTTAAAAGCATCAATTTCTAATCTTCACTGAGTCTGATACAGTTTTCTTTCTTTCAAGTTTAAACTGATATTGCTTCAAGCTCTAGAATAATCTTCTGCCCCACAAAATGTCAACCATTGACTGACATGGACTCTTTTCTTGGCACGGTGACAGCCAGGGTTTCATGTTTCGATGACGATCCAAGTTTAATCTCGACGCAGACGTACTTAATCCTGAAGATACACGATACATTTGGTTACGCTAACTTGAGATAACATTGGGCAGGAAATGAAAGGGGAAATGTGATCTTGGTTGAATCATTCCATCAGGGGAGCTTTTACCAAAAGAAATGTTTAATATCTTCTTTATCCTTTCCTTTTTCTTTCTTTTGTAGAGCTCTCCCTCCTTCCCTAATAAATCAGTTAATGCCTCTTTTAAACTTCATCTTTACTTGCCAAAATTTCTTCCCATTTCACCTCTTCCCTTGCTCCATTTCCTTCAAATTTCTCTCTCTCTCTCTCTCTCTCTCTCTTTCTCTCTCTCTCACTCACAGTGCCATTCTGTCTACCCTGTTTTCACTTTTATTTCATTTTGCATTTACAAATGTATAAGAATTATGAATCATCATGCTTTCCAGTCCGTCAAATCTGCCCCCCCCCCTTCTCTCTGTTTTTTCTTCTTTCTTCTTCTTTTCTTCTTTTTTTTTATAAATATCTTTGCCCCGATGGGCAATTTTTATTTGTTATAATTAACTTACACGAAAATTCACATTCACATTTTATACAACCCATATCAGAAGAAATTTGTTTCATTCAAATACATGCTTCAACATTATAAGCCATCGTAAAGTGAACTCATTTCTTTTTCCATTTACATGTATATCATAAAAGTACATGTACTGCTACTACTGCTCATCCTTATAATATTATTATTTATTATATATTTTATTTTATGAAAAACAGTGGGGGAGGGGTTCTTTTTTCAGAATTAATACAAAACCCAGCAAAGTTTATTTAACCTTGTACTCTTGGCAATGTTTTGGCAAAATTTCTCAACTAACACACATGTTCAAAGATTTTGTTTTCTTTCTTTTTTTCATATGTCAGGCCACACCAACTGTAGTGTACATCTCTTGAATTCTTGTTAATGTACAGTATATCCACGCTCAAAACTCAAATCTCTTCATAACTTAAGTTCTGAGCTCATAAGTAACCTCTCTGTACTAACGTAATGTTAACATCAAGCTACATGTACATGTATACATGTACTGTAATTGATAGTAATTTCTATTTTTTTCTGTAAAAGTTTCTAGAGATCTAGTGTTGTTTTCAGTATTACACAGTGCTTGGAAACATTTGGTTAAAGCACTAAATAAATACCATGTATTATTATCATTACTGTTATTATCATTGTTATAGTGGTCTATTTATGTTTTGTCATTCATCACTTGATCTGTTCCTTTTTCCATTGGTGGTGCGGGTCACTGATGCCAGAGTTCAGATGGGGAGCCCTACATGACCATGTTGTATGTCTGCATATACATGTATTTAACTTGAAATTGACACAGATTTTCTTTCATATTATTTTAATGCTTCATCTCATTCATCTTATTCTAAAGAGTACAAGTGTTTCAAAAATCTCATCAAAATTCGACAAGTCCAAACTTCAGAGCTACCAAGTATCACGCATTAGGCGTGACATCACGCATTTTGAGGGTCTGAAAATGCTATTACACTGTACGCAAGACCGCGCGCTAGATTTTGAAAAAAACGCTATACCTTATACGTGTTATACTCTCGCACGCGCACTTGCGCGCTGAATCATGAAAATGTCACGCATTGCCGATCTTTGAACTTGGCGTCTCTGAAACTTGAGTTCAGATAGACTAGATGATACATGTAAACATGTACATGTAGATCTGATTTATACAACACATGTCATGAGCAATGCATTCAATTTACAACATGTGCATGTACAGTGTAAAGCCTAAACTAAAGGTAGGATGGGGGTTGTGTGTGAGGATGCTCAATAAAAACAAAGCCTTGCATTTTTTCTTTGAATTTCACAAAAAAATTGCATCAAATAATAGGACTAACCATCATAAATATTTGTCTTAAAGGTACTTAGTAACATTGTGATGGTTGATTTCACAAATCTGTTGAATCAGGATGCAAAACACGTAAAATTATGTTTGTATGTATGGATTATCCAACTACGATGCCCCAAATCCGAAATTAATTCACGCAATATGAAGATTTTAAACAAAGTTCAACGGGTTTTCGAACGGGCGTCGATGTGCGGCGCTTCTGAATCTAAATTCTCCCAACGATTTTTTGAATTTTCCTAACCGTTTTTCCATGAAAAAAGACATAAAAACAGGCTATAAAAAATCTGTCAACACTTAAATGTCTGGAATGGAATGTAGAGCCATTTTATTGCTTTGTGAGATTTCCATTCACCTAACATGTAATTAAATTGTAATAATATAGTTGGGAGAATTAAGGAATCGATCGGATCAGTTTTTCCCAATTTGTACCATGAATAATGGTCCGTTTTCGCTCAAATTTTCAGATTATCTTTAATTGTACATCTAGCATTGAAGTTACTGCCTTAGCACCACTATCTCTCATCTGAACAATGTTACAAAATCCCTTTAATATTGTTCATCGGAAGTCTTAAAAGATTTATGAATTTCTGTATGTACGTGTAAACTCCCTCAAAGGACTGTTTTAATTCAACCAGGGACGTGATAGAGAAGGACTGGAATCAAGCCGCTCTCTTTTGACCCCATGCTCCACGCCGCCGACAAGTTATACGCTAATCTGCAACTGTTGACCAGGTGGTAAGATAAAAGAGCGCATGAATTTTCATGATTTAGAATTCCTACATCAGAAAATGGTATCACAGCAACTGTTCGCTGTCCCTTTCGATGATTTCTTATCCATTGTTGAATGTGTAAAGAGAAGAACAAGCGAACACAAACTTGTGTAATTGCATCCTTTTTTTAACTTAAAAAATACCCCAAAAAACGCGAAAACACGCATTAGCAAACTTAATCTCATTGAAGATTATAAATCGTGGATTAAATAACGGGACATTAAAACATGCACAAATTAGCGCATTATCCTAAAATATTGAGTTTTTGTCAGGACGTAATTTTTCTTTACCAACACTAGACTCCTAGAACACAAATTATAGGAAGGACGGAGTACTTAATTTGAAAATGTGTTTGATGCACTATTCCCAATGCAATCCCCAAATAATTTGTTTGATTTAGATCTAGACTCTACACCAAAATTTTGTCGGTAATTTAATATTTTTAAATAGGTCTACATGTAAATGTAAAACTGGTGCCTGGCTTCCGAAAGTCCCTGCAGTGGAATCGCGGTTCGGAGCATGGAACTTCAATGCCAAGTGGAATGTCACACATCCCATTGTTACGCTTTAGAACTCACGAATGCGTTTGAATAAATTACAAGAGTTTCGGCCCCTCCTTTCTTTCACCGCCTTGATGAATTCAACTGTCCGGACAGGTTGTGTAGCCGGACAGTTTGTTATTCTTGCCTGGGTCTTGACTCAAATTGTTTTCCTTTCATTCACTATTCAGTAGATCTAGACAATGGCCGTTAATTTAAAAGGGTTAGATTCTAGATCTAGATCTAGACGGTAGACCAAACCAAACCAAACCAAACCAATTCAGTCACAGTCACACTGCACTGCATGATGCATCATCAGACCAGGGACTGGGAAGTTGGAATGTCCATTCCAACTCCCTGATCAGACTCAAAATAAAATTACAATTTGATTCATGAAACTGATTGAGAGACAGAAATCACATGGTCAGATCAACAACACTAAAATAAAAACGAATAAGAGAATGAAGAATTAAGAGTGTGAGAGTAAACTTACGATCTCTCATTTTGAGCAAGTTGTCAAAATAGATTGCAGAAAAGGCATAAATATTGTCCGGTTGGTTCCTCAAAACTTCACGAGCCAGCCCTTCGAGAAGGTTTTGAAAACCTCTCGGAACTCGCAGTTTTGTGTTCGAAAAAGGCACAGCCATTTCTGGTTTATTCTTCGACTTCAACAAAAATATTCAAGGAAATTGTTGCCTGTGTTCTTCTGGTCCAGTTGATCCGCTTTGCTTCGCTTCAAGTGTAACTGCTTCCCCTCACGTTTCTCGCTGGAATAACAATAATAGGACTGTCGAGTCGCGATATCGTACGCTACGGTTCCCCGGATTCGCGTATGCTCCGTCCGCTAAAGAACTTGCCCGTAGAAAAATCGTATCAAAACAGTGGTTCACGAACGAAGCGCTGATCCGTCGTTAGGGAACTCGTGTCAGAGGTCAAAATCCAAGCGCCATCAACGACATGAATAGGCACATTGATATACCGAAGTTGTAATTTTCACTTTTGTTTTCTATTCCTTTTTTCTGTATTTTTTCTTATCTTCTTCTGTATTACATTTTGTTTTAATCCTGTTTTTTTGTAAATAATTGTAATTCACGAGCCAGTAATCTTATCCTTCTTTAATTCAGGTATTTGTATATTTTAAATAATCTTTTCAGCTTTCATGTGTCATGTGTCATTTCGACAAGTGAATATTAATTTGAATGCTAGTTGAGCAGTTTCTTAATTGAATGACAGATCTATGAAACCCTTCGACCAAAATCCTAAATTAAATACCAAAACTGGAAAATTGAATGATATTGGCATGGCAAAGCCGATCTGCGCTAACTTAAATGCAAAGTAAATGAATTCGAATGACAAACACGCGAATTTGGCCGGGAAATCCTATGATCGTGGGGGGGGGGGGGTATAGAAAGCACTACAAACGATGAAAATGATGGGGGGGGGGGCAGCCCAAGGGGGGGGGGTCAACCCCCCCCGTATTGTATTGTATTTAAACAATGCATAGGTAGGCATTCAGTCCGTAAATGCCATTTAAAGAGTTAAGTTGCATTCAAATTCCTTATTTAACCAACATGTATTGCCACCTGTGTAATATGCACCACAACAAAACAAAACAAAGAAAAACATAAAATATATTTAGCGACAGAGAGATTATTGAAAATCCCCGGATCTTTGAAACATCCCCATCTTTCTTTTTCTCTATCTCTTTCTCTCTTCATCTCTCTTTTTTTCTTTTGTTTTTGCTTTAGTTTTTTGTGTGTGTCATTTTGTAAAGATCCGCCCTCCCTCCTCCCATATTTTGAAAGACAGGGCCTGCATAGAGTACCGAAGCTGTGATATCTTTAAAATGTATTTTTTAGAACTTCTCAATTTGAACTTCATTTGCCGACAGAGCATCAAATATATTGTCCAAATTTTGAATACCAATTGAATATGTTAAGCATTGGCTGAGATATGGCCATGCGAATAAATATATTTCAATAGGAAATCACTGTTATTTTGCTCTGGTTCGTAACGTGAACCAGAGCAAAATAACAGTTTTAGAAATACTTTGTTACTCTTGGTTTTGAAAAGGTTAGTGATTATATAACATCATCTGAGCTATCAGCAGAAAATTAAGTTGATTGGCCTGTTTTGAACTCTCATTACAGGGACTGTCAATATGATCATGAAGTGGCTTTTGTTTCCAGTTCCTTGCAAACTGTAAACAAAGAAAAGGGAATCTGGTTACAAAACTGTCTTTGTTTTTGTTTTGATCTGTTTTGTTTATTCATAATGAACACGTACATAATATTGTAAGCTTTGATTCGTTTGCCTCTTTCGTATTTTGTACAACCAGCAACTTTTCTGACATGAAACTTTTGAGAATTGCAGCTGATATACCGGTAGCTTTTTTCCTGTTTGCCAACTGCCAACCATGAAAAATAAATCAATATATTTATACATGTATCATATGTTTATTAAATAAAATCTCGTGACACTGTCAGAAACTACATCCCTATACCTCTCTTATGCTCTATATCTCTCTTTCAAGCTTGTCCCCTTTTCAAGGTAGCTATCCACCTCATCAACACCCCCCCCCCTTCTTTCTCTTTCTTACTGGAACATATTGGCTATACATCCCTACCTCTCTCATGGTCTAAATCTCTTTCAAGCTTGTCCCTTTTTCTACATCCACCTCAACGACCCCCCCCCCCCCTCCCCTCTCATATGCTCCAATATTTTGATCTCCTTCCTCCCTCTGTACTGAAACTATTGGCTATCCAGCTCTACATCCATACCTCTCTCATGATCCTAAATCTCTTTCAAGCTTGTCTCCTTTTCTACATAGATATCCACCTCAACATCCCCCCCCCCCTCATTATGCTCCAAGATTTCAATCTCCTTTCTCCCTCTTACTGGAACACATTGGCTATCCATTTCTACATACCTACCTCTCTTATACTCTATATCTCTCTTTCAAGCTTGTCCCCTTTTCTACGTAGCTATCCACCTCATCACCCCCCCCCCCCTCTCATATTCTCCTGTTACTGGTACATATTGGCTATACATCTCTACATCCCCACCTATTATATGCTCTATATCTCTCTTCTTTCTATTCTCTTGCTCACTGTAGCTGTTACACTCCCACCCTCATCTCTCTCCTCCCTTTCCTCCACCCATCCCCACCCCATGCACCCTCATCTCTCTCTCTCTTCCTGCCTCCCTTCCCTTCCCTCCCTCCCTCGCTCCCTCTATTCCTAATTCCCCATCTCTCTGGATTCAAACCTTACAAATAAATCATAAATTCAGACTCGAAATAAGAAATATAACAAATACTTTAATCTTTGGCACATACCCGGTGAACATAAACATGATATTAAAGCACAAACCTGATTGTTCTGAACATATTTTAGATGTAATGAAATTCCTATTTCAGTTAATTTGGTCATCTAACTTGGACTACAGTGATTAGATTTTCTTCTTGAAATTGGAAACTTCCTTTTATTGCTACATTTTTCTCATAAAAATCCTGTACCATAAAAAAGAATATTGATTTATACACTGAAAGAAAGTATGTCGTACATTATTAAATCACAGACAGGTATGCCAGTTTGTATTTACATAATTGTGATTTTGACATTTTCAACATGTCACAGAGTTCAGGATTTCAATGCAAATTTCCCTCCTATACAAGTAGCTCTTAGCATCAAGGCTAACATCAAATCACAAGACCACTTTGTTTATACATGCAGGCCTTTAGCATAAGGCACACAAAACTTGGTACACATCTATACTCAGAGGCCTGATAGTTAAAATGGAAGAAGATAAATACAACAACACTATTAGGTACTGGAATAATCCTTGAATTGTAGATGTACATACATGTAGAGTTGGGCCAGATATACATCCAGGACTGTATACATTACAACTTCACTCATTCCTGTCAACTTTTCACTCCAAGAAGATAGACAAATTGGGTCTCTGTTAATGTTATATACAAATCATAAGGCACACAAAACTTGGTACACATCTACTGATATTTAAAATGGAAGAAGATGAAAAAAAAAAAAAAACGTTATCAAGTACTAGAATAATCCCTGAATTGTAGAAGTACATACAAGCCATGTAGAGGTGGACTAGATAATTATAAATTATCACAACTTTACTCATTCCTGTCAACTGTTCACTTCAGGAAAATAGACAAATTTTGTCTCTGTTAGTATATACAAAACGTAAGGCACACAAAACTTGGTACAAATCTACTGATATGGTATCTGTTTAATATATATAGTATATACATCACTAATAACTCTGAGACAAGTGACTCCTGATAGGAATGAGTGCGGATTGAAAAAAATCTGAGTAAAATGAGGTTCTTCAAGGTGCATGTAAACTTTCGAGGCCCAACTGTGTATACTGAACTTGTGTGAAGCTGAACAGACTGCATACAATTAAGGGCAACTTGGCACAGTAAATACTTAATAAAATTACAATCACAATACAAAACAACCCCACATTCAATTTTGCTTTCTGGGGCCTCTTCTATTAAAAGTTGAAATTGCAAATCAGCATCGTTCATCAATTTTTTTCTAAGAAAGGCATTGTCGGATCCAGGGGGAAGAAGAATCATAGGCTGACGACTTATCCCCCCCCCCCCTCTTGTCATTATTTTCAAAAGCCAAAACGACACTCCAAAACATGCTGACAGAGCTGCCAACCTTGTCAGACCAAAAAAAGGAATCATGATGGCAAAAAAAAGGAATTCATTAAATTGAAACTTACAACCACGCGCGACACACTTCCAATGCAGAAATGTCCAGTCCTCATGCTGTTTTTTCCATACAAGCAGATATTTTTTTAAAAATTATTTTGGTCATTATCGACATTTCATTCTTTTTGAGAATATTTTTCTCTTCAAGTATGTTTTCCAGTATGTTTTAAACTTAGTTTTCTATTGAATTTGTGATCAAATTAACATTTTAGGGCAGTTGATTGACGCGCGGGAGGTAAACAAAAACAAAAAACATATTTTTTAAAGAAAAAACGTAATACCGTAATTTGGAGGAAAAAACAGAGTAATTCCGGCAAAAACGGAATGGTTGGCAGCTCTTGCTGACCGCTGACCCTCTTATTTTAGTCACAGAATTTTCTTACATGCAATCCCCACAAACGCATAAAAAGTGAATTCACAGTTAAATATGCAAAGGCTAAGACAATGGACATAATTATCCATTTCTTACCAAAAATTTGTTGCTCTGATTAATGTGAAATTTACTACAAAAACAAAATGGTATAAGTGGAAACATGAAGAAACAAATACAACTGGGTTTCACCTAATTCTAATATTGATGAAAACTGAATGGCTTTACTTTTGTGTGACTTGGGAATATATTGCAGTCTCCATGAACATATTTCACTTGTTGAGCAATCTTGAGAAAATGCTTATTAGCTTGTGCACTATACTCTGAAATCATGCTCATCAAGGCCATGCAATTTCATATATATTTACACTATATGGAATGGTTGTGAAGACTCCTCTACTAGGCTTCTTTTTCCATATTAAAATCTTTTCCATCTTCATAACTCTTTGCCTCCATCTTTCCTGTTTCTTCTTCTGTGTCTTCTCGCTGTTTTTCCTTCCTTTTACAGCATTGTGTGTTACAGACATTCAAGTATCTTGATCCACTTGAAATTCATCTTCACCTCTCCTATCGGATCCTTCTCGCTCAATACAATAAAATGTTGACAAGAATAATAATTATGTATTGTTAAGCACATGTATCATGTCAACATGGAACAACTTTTAAAATAATACAAATATTCCGGGTTCATATAGCGCTTAATACATCAATGTAATCTCTATCAAAATGCTTTACAGATAGACATGTATATAACATGTATAGACATGTATATAATTAGCCTCGTCATTGAATTCAGACTTACCCACACAAAATGTACACACATTCTCCACTCCCTTTAGGGCATAATAGCCAGCATCATCTTACAGATGCTCACAATGCTGAGTAACCTACAACAATTTTCACATCCTACCAGGGGATTGGAACCCCCAACCCTTGGATGGAGAGTCAGGTGAATGAACCACTATGCCATGACACCTTCTTATGTACTGTCCTTCAAAATAGCTGTGGAATTTATCATCTTGGATTTAACTCTGGCAACCTATATCAGTGCAAATTGCATTTCAAGAATAATTCTGATAGGTATCCATTTCACTCCTTGGTCAAAAGAGACTGTAAATACATCTGGAAATGCAGTATATAAGGACAAACACAGTGGACAGAGATTAGAACCCTCAATCTCTCAAAGGAGAATCAACCGAAGGAACCACTTATACCCCAGAGATCCAGCAAGAAAATCCGTTTCATTTCACATTTATCATAATCACCTGTACCTGTCCCAATCTCTTTCCCCATGCCTTTCTCTTTCTCCATTTCTCTTATCTCTTTTCTTTTCTCTAACTCTATCCCTCGTATCTCTTCCTCTTTCCCCACCCCTATCTCTGCTGTCTTGTCGCCTTTCTCCTTCTCTATCTCTCTTACCTCTTTCCTTCTCTCTAACTCTTTCCCTCCTATCTCCATCCCTATCTCTGCTGTCTCGTTGCCTTTCTCTTTCTCCATCTCTCTTATCTCTTTCCTTTTCTCTAACTCTATCCCTCGTATCTCTTCCTCTTTCCCCACCCCTATCTCTGCTATCTTGTCGCCTTTCTCCTTCTCTATCTCTCTTACCTCTTTCCTTCTCTCTATCTCTATCCCTCATATCTCTTTCTCTTTCCCCATGCCTATCTCTGATGTCTTGTTGCCTTTCTCCTTCTCTATCTCTCTTATCTCTTTCCTTCTCTCTAACTCTACCCCTCATATCTCTTTCTCTTTCCCAATCCCTATCTCTGCTGTCTCGTTGCCTTTCTACTTCTCTATCTCTCCTTTCTCTTTGCTTCTCTCTATCTCTATCCCTCCTATCTCTGTTGTCTTCTCTCTCTCCACCCCTATCTCTGCTGTATTGTTGCCTTTCTCTTTCTCTATCTCTCCTTTCTCTTTCCTTCTCTCTATCTCTATCCCTTCTATCTCTGTTGTCTTCTCTCTCTCCACCCCTATCTCTGCTGTCTTGTTGCCTTTCTCTTTCTCTATCTCTCCTTTCTCTTTCCTTCTCTCTATCTCTATCCCTTCTATCTCTGTTGTCTTCTCTCTCTCCACCCCTATCTCTGCTGTCTTGTTGCCTTTCTCTTTCTCTATCTCTCCTTTCTCTTTCCTTCTCTCTATCTCTATCCCTTCTATCTCTGTTGTCTTCTCTCTCTCCACCCCTATCTCTGCTGTCTTGTTGCCTTTCTCTTTCTCTATCTCTCCTTTCTCTTTCCTTCTCTCTATCTCTATCCCTTCTATCTCTGTTGTCTTCTCTCTCTCCACCCCTATCTCTGCTGTCTTGTTGCCTTTCTCTTTCTCTATCTCTCCTTTCTCTTTCCTTCTCTCTATCTCTATCCCTTCTATCTCTGTTGTCTTCTCTCTCTACACTTCTATCATTCCTTTGCTCCTCTCTATCTCTCCTTCCTTCAGTTTCCCTCTCTCCATCCAAACCCCTCCTTCCTCTTTCCCTCTCTTTTATCTATCCTTAGTTTGGCCTCTCGTTCCCTATCCCAATGATCATTCCGATCCCTCTGTTCATCTTCTCTTCTCTTAACTATGGTTTCGTCATCCTCGTATCTAGTAGAATGGTATGAACTCCTAGCTTCGTCATATCTTCTCCTGCTCTCCCCTCTTTCTTTTCGTTCAGACCCATCCGCTATCCTCCTATCATCTTCCTGCTTTGTCTGCTCTTTCTTTTTTCCATAGTCCTCATCTTCTTTCTTTTTGGTTTTCACAATGGGGGTTGACTCGCTGTCGTTGCTATCGTGTGTCCTTTTCTTTTTTGCTGGAATTTCATTTCCTAAAATAAAATGAAATTGAACATGAAAACAGTGTCAAACAGCAATCAAACATTCAAACATTTCTTCCACATGTGAAAAGGATATTTCAGATTATAGTAATGATAACATTTTTACTTGGTCAAGAAAGTAAACTAATTAACAAACCGCTTATCAATCTAGCTCACAGCGAGCATTAAAAAAAGAAAATCTCTCAAAATTTCAAGAAAAAATAAACACATAAAGTATAGAAAATCTATTATGAATACTGTCAAAAAGCAACTTTCATTTGAGACGTATGCACACAATTTAAGAACATGTATTGGTCAATAACAGGTCATTTTAGGCAAGTCCAAGCTCTTTTGTCCTAGTTCCAAACCAAATCTAAGATTTCATTATGCCTGATGACTGAATCAACCTGATAGCCCTACTGAAGCTTGAATGGACAAAACATCGTATTTTACGTGCCAATTTAAGTTCACAATTTCATAATACAAATAAATTCAATAATACTTCATAACATATACATTGAACTTGCTTTCTACATAAAGCCAAAACAGCACTTATTCACTGTTATACCTTTTATTGGTATAACCAATTCCCCTCCATCTTTCTTGTTGGATGCTGGATGTGTCTTGGGAGCACATCCCTCTTCTCCCAGCTTCATAGTTGCATCATCAAACTCCTCGTCATCATTGGGCTCTTAATGATCTACCCACAATATCCTTGCCTTCAGCTACAGCAGAAAGAATATTGTCCAAAAAAAGAAATCATGAATAGTAAAGGACAGGCATTTTCAAGGCAAGACAAAATTTCACGGATGTAACAGTATTCTGCTATCTTTTTCATTCTTCACTTTTTACTTGCAAACTGTCTTGTAGAAGTCTCAGAATACACTAAAGATGCATACCAGGAAAAGGTCAAGGATTAAATCAAGCAGTATCTCCTAAATCAAATGCCCAATAAATTAGAAGCTGATAAATCTTGGGAGGACCACATACATGCACTTAGGAAGGGAAAAAAAAGAGAAAAAAAAATTGTACACCACAAACAGGAGAGTTGTCCGTCTCTACTTCACAATCCAATAACCAAATTGCCCATCTGAGATTTGCATACACCACGTGATCTCATATTCAAACTCACATTCATAACTCTCTCATTATTGGTCTGATTAATTTCAACTTTCTTTATGTTTCTCTTATTTTCCTTTGTTTAATTGGAAAATAAAAAGTAATGATAAAACGTTTCAGGCTTTTTGTGTTTGCTAGATTTCTACAAGGCACCCTGAACTGTCCCCTGTAGTTTCATGGAGAATGCAACCCAGGTTTTGAATCAACTATTTGCATTCTAAAATGTTTCTGGCCTTGTATAGAGTACCGAAGCTGTGACGTCATAAAAATCTATTTTTAGAATTTCTCAATATTTTCTTCATATTCCGAAAGAACATCAAAAATAATGTCCAAATGTCGAAAACCAATTGAATATGTTAAGTATTGGCTAAGATATGACCATCTGAATAAATATACTCCCCATAGGAACTCAGTGTTATATGCTCTGGCTCCTAATGGTTAGGAGCCAGAGCATATAACACAGAGTTCCCATAGGACATATATTCATTCAGATGGTCATAAATTTAACTTCAAAATACAAAAGTCATTCTAATATTTTTCAGGCCTTGTGTATATACAGTGCGTCCCAGAAAAAACGAAAATTATCGATGTTTTATCATAACTTAATCACAATTATAATTGATAACGGCGACCTTCTGCTTTCTTTCTTTATACACGCAATGGCCCAACGTATAAGTTTACTCTTACTCATGTATTATACATTTGTTTCTATATTTTGTATATTGTTTGCATACCTTATGTTTTATATAATTATCCATATTTGTTGTATAACTGATTTGTTTGATTGCAGAAAATAAAGTCTTTGAAATGAAATGAAATAAATGGCACATATCTGTAAAGCTTAGATCCTCCTCTTTCACATGATGCAACTCATATGATGCAAATTTCACGCATAAGTGATTAGAAATAATTTGAAGAGAGGGTACCAAAAAGTCATTTGGCGGGCGGTATCTGAATTTCAAAGAGAAAATCTAATTTCTAGAAAGTTCATTTTCTGCCCTATCATGATATGACACCTCAATCTGGAAAAATGAGCTGGGAATAACAAAGTTCTGTTTGTTTAAAGTACTGCTTCCATTTCCATAATTCGATTAAACGAATTCGTTTTAACTGGCTGCCTGCTGTAGCAACAGAGTTGACAAAAGACTTAACTCCGTTTCGTTGATGATAAGCCATGCACAAAGAAGACAGAACATCATATTTTCAACTAAAGCTATATGAATTCTATATCATACACTGTATATCAAAGACCCTCTTTATAATATCGCTCCTAATTTGTCTGCCGAAGCTTTTCTATAATTTCATACAAAACATTACACACATTAAAAAACGTTGACTGTTGCTAAAATATCTTAAAACTCATCTCCACTGCTACATGTGGACATAGATTCATCATGGCATGGATATACACGATAAACACATGTATACATACCTCTAAGGCTGATGCCTTTGCATTCAGTGTAGAATTGAACTCCTCCTGGAAAGTAAATCCCCGTAGTGTCAGTAGGGTCAGGTTTGGCATGGAACACAAAGCATCTACTAGGTAATGTGAAGTTGCTGATGTTGGCCACTGAATACTTGCTTGAAGATTGAGAGTTTGGACCTAAATGTATATAAACAGTGATTCATACAAGTTCATTACCAGAGTACATGTTTTTCCTGAATGACTGCAAATATAACTGGATGATATACATGTATGTGTATTTCTATGCTTAGGAGACAAATGCTCTGGGCTTATTTAGTCAAATGTATAAGATTTGGATAAAGGCTGCAAAAAAATTGAGCTTAGGTTTATTAATAGGTATACTTTTTTTGGTCCAAGTAAAGAATTTGGTTAACTCAGGATAGTAACCACAGAAAATTGTTCATGAAACATGAGTCAAAACAGGAGGACTGACAATTCAATTACAGCCACAGTGCATTTAATAACTATATACTTCATTCATACAAACAGTAATCAATACATGCACATTTAAATACCAGACTACATTTGTTAATTGAATGACTGCAAATATATCTGGGTGCTCCGATATACATGCATGTGTATAGCTATGCTCAGGTGACACGGCACCCCATTCCCGCACAAGGTCTTCCTTATACACATAATTTTAGTCTCCGTCATAAACCAAATACGTTTCTCTGAGGCAAGCTTTTGAAAGTGAAGTTTTTAGCAGAATATCATATTTTCAACTCAATCTATATGAATTCTGTATCATACACTGTACACGAAAGACTCTCTTCATAATACTGTTCCTTTGTCTGCCATTAAAGACTATTATATATTTTCATTAAAAAAACCTTACACACATTAAAAAAATATTGACTGTTGCTAAAAACTCCTTAAACTCATCTGCAGTGCTACATTTGTACATAAATTCATCATAGCATGGATATAGAGTACGAACAGACATACATACCTGTAAAGTTGATGCCTTTGCATTCAGAGTAGAATAGAACTCCTTCCGGAAAAATTTTCCATTTAGTGACAGTTCAGTCAGGTTTGGCATGGAACACAAAGCATCTACTAGGTAATGTGAAGTTGCTGATGTTGGCCACCCAAGACTTGCTTGAAGATTGAGAGTTTGGACCTAAATGTATATAAACAGTGATTCATACCAGTTCATTACCAGAGTACATGTTTTTCCTGAATGACTGCATATATAACTGGATGATATACATGTATGTGAATTTCTATGCTCAGGAGACAAATGCTCTGGGCTTATTTAGTCAAATGTATAAGATTTGGATAAAGGCTGCAAAAAAATTGAGCTTAGGTTTATTAATAGGTATACTTTTTTTGGTCCAAGTAAAGAATTTGGTTAACTCAGGATAGTAACCACAGAAAATTGTTCATGAAACATGAGTCAAAACAGGAGGACTGACAATTCAATTACAGCCACAGTGCATTTAATAACTATATACTTCATTCATACAAACAGTAATCAATACATGCACATTTAAATACCAGACTACATTTGTTAATTGAATGACTGCAAATATATCTGGGTGCTCCGATATACATGCATGTGTATAGCTATGCTCAGGTGACACGGCACCCCATTCCCGCACAAGGTCTTCCTTATACACATAATTTTAGTCTCCATCATAAACCAAATACGTTTCTCTGAGGCAAGCTTTTGAAAGTGAAGTTTTTTAGCAGAATATCATATTTTCAACTCAATCTATATGAATTCTGTATCATACACTGTACACGAAAGACTCTCTTCATAATACTATTCCTTTGTCTGCCATTAAAGACTATTATATATTTTCATTAAAAAAACCTTACACACATTAAAAAAATATTGACTGTTGCTAAAAACTCCTTAAACTCATCTGCAGTGCTACATTTGTACATGAATTCATCATAGCATGGATATAGAGTACGAACAGACATACATACCTGTAAAGTTGATGCCTTTGCATTCAGAGTAGAATAGAACTCCTGGAAAAACTTTCCACTTAGTGACAGTTCAGTCAGGTTTGGCATGGAACACAAAGCATCTACTAGGTTATGTGAAGAAGCTGATGTTGGACACTGAACATCCCATAGCCAGAGAGATTCGACCTGCATGTATACACACAGTCATTCATCACCAGAGTACCTTTTTTGTTACTGATTGACTGCATTACAACTTGGTACTCAGGTATACATGTATGAGTATTGATATGCTCAGGTGACACTTGCTTTGGGATTTATTTCGTCAAATATATAGGATTTGGATAAGGGCTGCCTGCATATAGGTTTGAGCTTAGGTTTAGTGATAGGTATACGTTTTGGTGCAGGAATAAAGTTAAGAATTTGGTTAGTGCAGAAATATTGTTGACGGAGCATGTGTCGAACAACAAGAGGACTGACAAGTAGTCGTACTGCATTTACTTACTTCATACAACATAGTTATGCATTCAAGGAATATATCCTACCAGATACCCATCCCTTAAACCTAGGTTGAGAATGGCAAATGTAAACTAATGTCTTGACAAACAACACAAGTACTACGAACAGCAAAGATTGAACCCCATACCTTATGGTTCACTGACCTGAGACTTCTCCACTGGACCACAAACATCTCCACATGAACCATGGTTGAGACCCATTTTTTTAGAGTGCATATTATTCATATGATTGATTTTAATAAATAGACCTGTATTTCTGTTTAGATAATTAAATAAATGAGGAAGCAACTATCGCTTCGTCAATTATTTAGACACATTTTTGATGTTACCTAAAATATGCTTTATCATATATTCATGACTAAAAGTATGCATTATACATGAATGAATAGAGTACCGAAGCTGTGACATCATTAAAATCAATTTTTTGAATTTATCAATTTGAATATAATAATAATAATAATAATAATAGTTAGCTCTTATATAGCGCATTTAATTACCGAAGGTAATACCAATGCGCTTTACAAACATTTCAAAATCAAGATACAAATGTAGAACACAATAGAAATAAGATATATATAGAAATAATTACAGATATAATTTAAAAAAAAATACAAGTAGGCATACTGTATATATTAGAAAAATCGATAGTAGCTTCTATTAAAGGTGATACATGTAATATAATATTTGAAAATTATTATAATGGTGAGGAAGGCCCAATACAATATAAATAAAATAAATAGATAAATAAACATCCCGCTTGTTGGGAGACTCATTGGAAAACTCTTCCTGGCATTATGCTACGCATTCAGTCAGTCACAAAGATGTTACAAACCAGTGCAAAATTAAAATGAAATGTTGAACAAATATGTCTTGAAGTTCTTTGTGGAATTCGTCTATGTTTGACTGCTCACGGAGAGTGCCAGGAAGAGAGTTCCAAAGGGTTGGTGCAGCACATTCAAAGGACCTGTCACAGAAAGATTTGGTTCTACTCCTATTTACTACTAGCAGATTTTGCGAGGCAGATCTGAGTGATCTGGTTGGTAGATATTTTGCTATCAACTCGGATAGGTAAGTAGGAGCAAGGCCATGGATTGCTTTAAATACGTTAAGTATTGGCTGAGATATGACCATCTGAATAAAAAGATTGCCTACGGGAACTCAGTGTTATATTACTCTGGCTCGTAATTTGCAGACTAAACTAATTGTATTCTTGATCTTTATTGCCAGTCAACTTCATGCTCAGCAAGGCCTATGTGTGGATACACATTTTAATCAGGCATGCTATGGAAGTAGAAATATAGGAATGCAAAAAAGGATAGTTGTATTAAAATATGCAGGACATAGTACCTGTTACTATGCCAACATTACAGAAACTTTAAGATTGAGTATTCTCAAATGCGGAGACATTGACCCAAACCCTGGTCCATTAGAGCAACATCACCATCGGTACTCTAGCAAGGATCTTCATGAGCTAAGAGATAAATGCACTAATCAGAACGTGTCCCCTCACAATCAACCCTAGACCCATATGCAGTCGAGGTAAACGAGGCGGGGCTAGGAGATCTGCCCGTCCAGTGGAATCTTCACCTTCTAACAACATCCCGGTGATTGTGCACCCAAGAACAATTGTGAATAGGCTGCAGAGACAAGAACCAAGTTATAGGAGAACTAGATGAACCTTCAACTGCGTGCAGTCGAAAATGATGCCTCCGCCATGGAGCAATTTTACAAATCAAAACAGAACCAAAGTGTGGCGGGAATCCGTCGATGGGTTCTTGAGATAATGCGTTTTGCATACATAATGAGCCCTGTGACCTTTGACCTTGGATCTCGCTACCCCCAAATCGAATCAGTTCATTGGCTCTGCAAGATACATACATGATCCAAGTTTGGCGGGAATCCATCAATTGGTTCTTGAGATAATGCGATCACAAGCTATTTTTGCATACATAATGAGCCCTGTGACCTTTGACCTAGGATCTTGTGACCCCAAAATCTACTGTTCTTTTGCTCTGCAAGATACATACATGACCAAAGTTAGGCGGGTATCCATTGATTGGTTCTTGAGATAACGCGATCACGAGAACGGGACGTACAGAGGGACGGACAACCTGAAAACATAATGCCTCCAGCTACTTTGTAGCGGAGGCATAAAAATTCAACTGGTCCAGAGTGAACACAAAGAGAAACCTAATGCAAGGTCGGTACGTGTCCGACCGTCAGTTTTATTGTGCAATGCTTGTTCTTTCAACAAGAAAGTGGACAAATTATCTGTTATTGTTTGGGAACATGCCATCGACATCTGTTCAATAACAGAGTCATGGTTTAATCATGACCAACCGGAGTCATCATACAGCGTTGATGGTTACAAAGTCTTTACCAAGTATTGGTATTCTCGCAGGGATAGTGGTGTCGCTATTTCTGCGAAACATAGCCTTGAGCCCAAACAGGTGAGTACCATTCCAGTTCCAGATGAATACGAAGGGCCCATTTTTTACCTCATCAATTACTGCGTCATGTCAGCAGTATCTACTTCGGTGCAGTTTATTCACCCCCAGGAAACGCCAAAGAGTGCGATCTAATACAGTACCTCATTAGGAGTGTTGACATCATCAAAACTGCGCATCCCTATGCCTGTGTTGTAATCCTTAGTGATTTGAATCGCATGGACATTTTCCAAATCCTCAATGGATGTCAAATGGAATAAGTTGTTTGGACCTGACAAGAGGTAACGCGATTTTAGACCAAATCATAAGCAATCTCGATCCCTTTTACTATAAACCATCTTTGTTATCCCCCCTTGGCCTTGCCGACCACAACATTGTAATCTGGCTACTCAATGAAGTCAATAATTGCCCACGTAATAAGGCTAAAAAACGGACTGTCCGACCAATGAAAGACTCGGATATAAGAGCTTTTGGTGGGTGGATTACTCACAACGACTGGCAAGATTTTGTTGCCGAGTCTCAGCTGCAAGCCATGTGCGATCACTTCTACCAAACGCTGCAAAGGTGAATCTGCACTTCTCAACAAAGTCAATAAAACTCCACCAGACTGGCAAGCCTTGGATAACGCCCCATACTAAAGAGCTTATCAACCAAATAGTATTCAGCAACAACTCTGACAGTGCTCGAAAATCGCTTCCCAATCAAGTCCTTCGCGAAATCTCTAGAGCAAACGCTATTTCTATCATGATCGTATCCAAAATCTTAAGAGCGATAACCCCTCATCTTGGTACAAGAACGTTAAACTTATGCCTGGTCATTCAAATTCGCAAGCAGACAAAATCCGAGTTCCGACCGTTGAAGACAATGACCCAGTGAAAATTGCTAACGCCGTCAATGAATTCCTTGCAGATGTGGATGTCGCTGATATCCCCGAAATCCATTTGAGAGACCTACCATCATACCTGCCAGCCCCAACACCGCCCCAACATGTTAAACTGTGGGAAGTCATGAGTGAATTGAAGAAGATCAAGCCTGGCAAGTCAAGCAGCTCTGATGGAATTCCTGAAATCCTCATTCAGGAATTTGCTTGCGAACTCTCAATCCCCCTGTCAGGGATACTAAATGCATTCTATCAACATAACAAGGTCCCAACCCAGTGGAAACAGGCAATAATTGTCCCCATCCCAAAAGTTACATCTGCAAATTTGGATAAACTGATGCCTATATCCCTAACCGATCAATTTTCCAAAATTGCCGAGTTGTTTATTACTAAGCTTCTGTTACGCCACAGTAAACTCACTTGAACGAAAACCAATAAGGAAGCAGACAGGGCCTCTCAACTCCATTTACATCGTCGACCTAATCAACTACCTTGCTAAATCAGCTGAGGCACCAAGAACTGCCACTGCCGTTGTACGCATCGACTTCAGCAAGGCATTCGATCGGGTCAACCACACTATCGGGATTAAGAAGCTTATTGATCTTGGCGCTCGCCTTTTGATTATTCCTTGCATCTACGATTTCCTGCCGGCCGCAAGACCTGTGTTCGCTACCATGGCTCACTTTCGCTCTGGAAGAGGATTCATGCTGGCGTCCCACAAAGCACACGCCTAGGTCCTGTTGTATTCTTGGCCCTTATTGATGATGTAATGCGAGATGCTTCATCAGTGAGTCACTGAAAGTACGTCGCCGACATGTCATTTGCCGTCTCCAATGATGCACGCAACCAGCCATGTGATATCTCCCGTTCACTATCCACTTTAGAGGATTGGTGCCAGAGCAATTATGTTTAGCTTAACACCAAGCAGTGTTCAATCATGTGATTGTCCTTCAGTAAAGGGCAACTACCCCCGCTAGATGTACTTGTTGATAACGTCCCCCTGAATGAGGTTAACAGTGTTAAAAACTTGGAGTAACCATTGAAGATACCTTGAAGTGGAATGTACAGGTTTCGGATAGAGTTTCTCGAGCTAACCACCGCATTTACTTGTTAAGATCCCTGAAAGCCTTCTATCTCCCCACCAGCGACCTCGTAACTGTTTACATAGGATTTGTTAGACCACTCCTTGAGTATGCCTACCCTGCCTGGAATGGACCATTGACCATCACCCAGTCCAACAAGATCAAAAACGTTCAAAAACTGGCATTAAGAATTATGCTAGGTAGATATTACACATCCTATCCAAATGCCCTATCAGTGACCAAGCTTCAAACTCTCCATGCTTGCTGAGAAGTTTGCCTCAAGTTTGCCCAGAAAGCACTAAATTTGACCGATTAATATGGTTTGAACTAAACGTCTGCACAAGAAACACATGGAAATAATGTATTTATATAGAACCCAAGTCCAAAACAGAACGTTACAGGAAAAGCCCAGTCCCATATCTCACCAGGTTACTGAACAATGCATAAATTCCCTTGCTTCCTGCCTGATTTCATGACTCTTATTTAAATTGTATGCCTTCTCTTGCTTTAGTAGTAATGCTCTAACTCTATACTAATCCATTCATACAGATTAGTGCAAGTAATCCAAATTTTAATGAATGGGTAAACCTGTTTTTTTTAACCGACTAACTAGTGAATCTCTCTCTTATAGTTAAGCACTTTCCCATGTACATTCTATCTCTTTACATATTTCAAGTTTTTATGCATATATTGTTATTATCTTAGTCATGTATAATTGGTAAATTGTACTGTTTTTCTCTGTAAAGGATAATGGGTAATTTACTCTGCAATTTCTAATCGCTTTCCTTTTGTCGTCTTACTTTCATCATCATTCTTCTTCCCCATGTCTTCACAGTTCAAGCTGTTCCATTCTTCTCATACCACTCCTCTTTATCTCTCATCTTCTGCATTTCTTCCTGTTTTTCCCTTCTAACTTAACCCTCTCTCTTTAAATAATTTTCTCCCTGACACTTTCTCTATTTTTCAGTATTGTTTAATTATGTTTCTATCATAAATCCTCATATATTGTGTGTGACTGTGTTGAATTACATTATCGAGTAGCATTATTAATAGGCATTCACTTTGCGGCATTTTATTACGGTTTGAAATCAAACAAATTTCAGTATTCACTTGTCATAAACTCAATTAATCAGCCTCAATTTCTATTTAAAATATGAATATTCCTCACTTAACAATGATTGCAAAAATAAAAAGTCAATGCAAAGCATAGCATCTCCTCGCAGGGTACGGGCACAGAGCTACGTGCACTATGTGCACTTCCACTATTCGTTACAAACACAAACAAGCACGCTCGCGTGCACATGCACACACACACAATATATATATATATATATATACACTTGCACAACACACTCACCAACTCATACACAAAAATCGTTTAAACACTTTTTCATTTTAAGGTTTACCTTAAGATTTTTTTTTTTTTTTTTTTTTTTGAGGCCGCCATCCTTATCAATCTTTGCTTATGACTGCGGTCTCCTGCACTTTTGCAACATAATAGTTCGGATAATACTTTAAATTTATGATTATATGTTATGGAAATATTAAGTTTCGTTATTATATGTACATATATTATGTAAAAAAAACATTTTGACATGAAGAAATTATTGTTTGTTTATGTTGTATTATACCTTACATTAATATGTTCTTTGTTATTCAGTTATATTTTATATGGAAAAAATGCAGAAATAAAATCAAATCAAAATAAAAAACGGCCTAGATACATCAGAATAAGTTACCTCCATTGGACTATACTATTATTTTACTAGGCAAGGAAGTAACCACATTTTCACATATATGAGGTGTTTTTGCATATTTAATGAGCTATGACCTTTCACCTTTGACCTACATACTCAGAAATCAAACTTAGGCTGTACATGTACATGTACAGCCATTTACCTTCAAATTAAATTTCATTCAAATTCGTCAAACATTACTCAAGTTATCGAATGGAAACCAGATTCGCATATTTAATGAGCTATGACCTTTGACCTACATACTCAGAAATTGAACTTAGGCTGTGTTTTGATACCATGTATCTTCATATCAAATTTCATTAAAATTTGTCAAACATTACTTAAGTTATAGAATGGAAACCAGATTAAGTTATAGAATGGAAACCAGATTCGCATATTTAATGAGCTATGACATTTGACCTGCATACTCAGAAATCAAACTTAGGCTGTGTTTTGATACCATGAACCTTAATATCATATTTCATTAAAATATGCCAAACATTACTAAAGTTATCGATCGGAAACCAGATGTGTATTTTTTCACATATTTAATGAGCTATGACCTTTGACCTACGTACTCCAAAATCAAATTTAGCCTGTATTTTGATATCATGTACCTTCATATTATATTTCATTAAAATCTGTCAAACGTTACTGAAGTTATCGATCGGAAACCAAATTTGTTACGGACGGAAGAACGGACTGCAACATTACTATATCCCCTCCAACTTTGTCGGCGAGGGAATAATATGACACATCTATTCTATTTGTATCATCAATTTGTTTGCAAGTATGGAATATGTAATAAGTTATGATCTAATTTACTGTGTATTATGTGTACTTGTCTATATTTAAGTTTTGTTGAAATGCTTTTTAAAATTGATCTTTTAAAACTTGCGATGTAATTTAACTCTCGGGCTACCAGTTTGCAGTTGTTCAAATAAAACCATACTACTACTTCTACTATCACACACTGCACATGAAAGGCCCTCTTTATAACAATTTTCTTTGTCTGCTAAGGCTCTTATATCTTTTCCTATAAAACATTACATATTAAAACTAGATGGAACTTCGACTGCGCGCAGTCGAAAATGATGCCTCCGTCATAGAGCAAGTTTACAAACCACAAAGCAATTTCTCATATACATATATGACCCTTTGATCTTTGACCTCATGACCCTAAAATGTACTCAGTTCATTGGCTCTGCAAGATGTCCTGAGTTAAATAGTAATCCATCTGTCAGTTCTAATGAGAATGCGTTCACAAGCTATTTTTGCATACATAATGAGCCCATGACATTTGACCTTTGACCTCATGACCCAAGAATCTACTCAGTTCATTGGCTCTGCAAGATACATACATGATCTAAGTTTGGCAGGAATCCATCAATCTGTTCTAATGATAATGCGATCACAAGCAATTTTTTGCATACATGAGCCGCATGACCTTTGACCTTGACCAAGACCCCAAAATCTAATCAGTTCATCGACTCTGCAAGTAACATACATGACCTAAGTTTGGCAGGAATCCATCAATTGGTTCTTGAGATAACGCGATCACGAGCTGTTTTTACATACATAATAAGCCCTGTGACCTTTGACATTTGACCTCGTGACCCCAAAATCTAATCAGTTCATCGGCTCTGCAAGATACATACATGACCAAAGTTTGGCAAGAATCCTTAAATCGGTTCTTGAGATAACGCGATCACGAGCTGTTTTTGCATACATAATGAGCCCTGTGACCTTTGACCTCGTGACCCCAAAATCTAATCAGTTCATCAGCTCTGCAAGATACATACATGACCAAAGTTTGGCAGGAATCCATCAATCGGTTCTTCAGATAACGCGATCACGAGAACGGGACGTACGGACGGACAACCCAAAAACATAATGCCTCCGGCTACTTCGTAACGGAGGCATAAAAATATTGACTGTTGCTAAGATATCATAACTCCTTCTATATACCTCTCTATAGAAATCTAGCCATCCGATTGTTCGAAATTGGAGTCGTGATTTTAGCTATGCCCGCAAACCTGTCAATAGTCTTTAAAAAAATGCCTGCATGCCCACCTACCAGTCAAAAGTCTTTTAAAAGATGCCTGCATGCCCCGGTTAACGCGCCGCATAAATAAATTTGGTTGAGATCCCCATGGGTTTAGTTTCTTTGTGCGAGCCCAGATACAAAATACAGTGCAGCGTGTGTGCGATTTCCCAATGATTGTAACATTCGGGCAACTTTCCAGCGAAAATTTACAGTGTCTCCGATATTCTGCGATTGTTTTAACCAGGAAAAGATTTTTGTGTGAATTCGGTATATAAAAGATATAAAGACTGCTTTGATATTTGAGGCATATTTGTTTTTATAGGCTCTTGGGGACGTTACATCCCCTTCAGCCTATAAAAACAAATATCCATCTAATAGCAGTTATTATATCTATAAACTCATCTGCACTGCTACATGTGTACATGAATTAATCTTGGCATGGAATAGAGTACAAACACACATACATACATGTAAGGTTGACGCCTTTGCATTCAATGTAGAAAAGAACTCTTCATTGAACTCTCTTCCATTTAGTCTCAGTTCAGTCAGGTTTGGCAAGGAAAACAAAACACCTGCTAGGTGATGTGACGAGGCTGACGTTGGACACTGAACATCCCATAGCATGAAAGTTTCGACCTGCATGTATACAAACAGTGATTCATACAAGTACATTACCAGAGTACATGTTTTAATTGAATGACTACAAGCCAAATATAACTTGGTGCTCAGGTATACATGTACCTTGTGAGTCAAAAAAAGTTTACACCTAGAAAAGTGGTAATTATTTTAAAAATCATCTATGAACTGTAAATTATTATACATCTTATGAAAGAGCGTTTTATCCCAAATCATTTGGTATTATTATTTTTGTGGTATGTGTTCACGCTTGGGTGAGCAGGAGGCATTGTTTGCGAGAGTGCAAAAATCGACTTGCGCCAAAGTGATGCCTAAAGTATGTCATATGTTGGGATTAAAGGAGAGAATGAATTAAATGTATCAAATGAGATGCATTGCATATGCTTTTTGCATAAGCAAAGTCACACACACACACACGCGCGCACACACACATAAACATCACATGAGCAACTTTGGCGCAAGTCAATTTTTGCACTCTTGCAAACAATGCCACCTGTTCATCCAAGCGTGAACACATACCACACAAAAATGACACTAAATGATTAGGGATAAAACATTCTTTCATAAGATGTATAATAATTTACTGTTCATAGATGATTTTTAAAATAATTATCAATTTTCTAGTTGTAAACTCGTTTTTTTGACACGCACTGTACATGTAAGTGTATGGCTATGCTCAGGTGACAAATGCTCTGGGCCATATTTAGTCAAATAGATAGGATTTGGATAAGGGCTGCATACAGGTTTGAGCTTAGGTTTAGTGATATGTATACTTTTTGGTGCAGGAATAAAGTGAAGAATTTGGTTAGTGCAGGATAATATTAAAACACAGAAATATTGTTGACAGAGCATGTGTTGGACGAAAGGAGGGCCGGCAATTACAGTTGTAGTGCACTTACTTACTTCATACTACATAGTTGTGCATTCAAGGAAAATATTCTACCAGATACCCACCCCTTACACTTAATGTGAGTGTGGCAAACGAGACTAATGTCTTGACAAACATCATAAGTGCTACGTACGGCAAAGATTTGAACCCCATAACTCATGGTTCACTGTCCACTGGACCACACACATCTCTGCGTGAACCATGGTTGAGACCCATTTATTTAGAGTGTTTATTATCCATATGATTGATTTTCATAATTAGAGTTGTATTATATCTTTTCATATAAAACATTACACACATCAAGCAAATATTGACTACTGCTAAAATATTGTAACGTGTTTATTAACCGAGGGAACTTATAAACCAAAATCAATCTACGAACATGCTGCATCAAAAACAATCTAAACTCTCCAACAAAACTCAAGTAAACCAGGACAGTAGAAAACACAACCTCACACAAAGAAGGACGGAACAGAACTAACTTTATTATACAAAATTATAACATGACTCTTAGTACAAATCAGGCATCATAACAAAATAAACCAATCAGGGGAAAGTCAGGTGATAAGAGAAACCAATGAGGTGAACAGGCTAGATAAATCAAATGTGAGAGGCAAAAAAGAACGAATTAGAGAAGAGAAAGTGGATGTTGCTAGGGCAGGAAAAGGCAACCATGCATAGAGAATGAGAAGACAACAAAGGGAATGGGTTTGAAGGAGAGAGAGGAAAATAAGGTGTGGCAGTAGTGTAACTGAAAGACTGCTGTAAGGTGAATGAAATGGAACATGAGCAGGAAAATGAATATGCAAATGAAGAATGCAAATATATAAATGAATATGTAATAATGGATAAGGAAGAGATAAGAAATTTACTAACTGAAATATAAAGACAAATTCAAACTGTTACAATATCATAACTCTTTAAGCTCATCTGCACTGCTACATTTGTACATAAATTCACCATGGCATGGATATAGAGTACAAACACACATACATACCTGTAAGGCTGATGCCTTTGCATTCAGTGTAGAATAGAACTCCTCCTGGAAATCCTTTCCCTTCACATGTAGTTTCAGTTCAGTCAGGTTTTGCATGGAACACAAAGCATGTACTAGGTCATGTGAAGAGGCTGATGTTGGACACTGAACATCAAGTAGCCTCAGAGATTTGACCTGCATGTATACAGTGTTCATACAAGTACTTTACTAGAGTGCATTTGTTGTACTGAATAACTGCATTTTATCTGGTTGCTCCAATAGACATGTATTAAAATTCTGGGCTTTATTCAGTGAAATATAAAGGATTTAGATAAGAGTTGGACATAGGTTTGAGCTTTGGCTTTATAGTGAAACGTATATTTTTGTGCACAAATAAAGTTAAGAATTCGGTTAGTGCAGGATAGGAAGGACAAATTGCAGACAGAGCATGTGTCTATTAAAGCATCATTTAACAATGTTAAATCTGAGATGCACGGCCCTAGGTGTTATCAGTGTCTGTGATATAGTGTAATATTGAAGCCCTAAAAAAAATCAAGAAGTGCCTCAAAAAGGTAAAGATCTTTGAGTGATCGGTTTTTACCATACTGGTTTTCCCCAATAGACTGTTGTGTTATGAAAACCGTTATCGATTTCCAATCATAAATATCTTGATAATCAAACAGGCGATCGGCCTGTAAAAGTCATGGGGTTCCTGACTGACCTAAATGTTTATAATTATAACTGCAGCATGAGCTAAATCAAGGATTTTGTTTCAGAATCTGAGACAAAGTTACCGGATCCCTTCAAACAAAAGGATTGGCAATCACAGCTGTAGAGCATTTACTCCCTACATACTACATAGTGAGGCTCTCGGAAATATATCTTACCAGATACCCACTTAATACACTTAGGTTGAGTGTGGTAAACGAGATTAATGTCTTGCCTCACAAAATTATTGCTACATATGGCAAGGATTCGAAGCCCATAACCTCATGGTGCACTGTCCGGAGACTTATCCACTAGACCACAAACACCTCTACACAAACCATGGTTGATGCCCATTATTTTAGAATGTATAGTGCTCATATGATTCATTTTAATATAAATAGAACTGTATTTGTTTTTTGATAATTCAATAAACAATGAAAGAACTATCACTTTGTTGATTATTTAAAGACATTTTTGACATTGCCTTAAAAAATACATTCATAACTAAAAGTATGCATTATACATTAATGTATAGAGTGTGTACATGTAAAGGATGCTGCGATCTAGATTTCCATCCTTGTTTAGTGAGTATTGAATACTTTGATACTGTTTTCAGACCCATGACGACATAATTCCAATACCTAATGAATTGCTTTAAACTGAACCATATACAAACTAGAAATTTAATTTGTCACGAGGACGAATTAGGTGGTCTATCTTCAATTCTTATGATCATGCTCATCTTCAATTCAATGACCCAATATATTGATCTTAATGTAAATTATGTATTAAGATATGAATTGATGAATGAAGTACTGATGAACTGATGAATGAACTGATAGATTGAACTGTGACCTGAACTGAACATCTGATCAAAAAACGGAAGGCACACTTACGATAGCTCATAGCATCAGCTATAACATACCATACTTAAATTTTTGGGGAAATAGAGCAAAAATAAGCGAGATACTGCTCAAAGAACAATGACATGTAGATGCATGACATGAATGAAATTAATCTTCCATAGGCATAACACGCAAATTAAGAAAATTCTGATATGGCGCCTCTAATTGAAATTTTCATTATGATGACGTCATCAAAATGAAAAATACTGATCTTGTAAACAATCATTTTAGCTACAACATATCAAAAATTTGGATGAAAATCGATCAGTATTTACAGAGATACAATCAATTTTCCATAAATATGCTGACATCATAACATGCAAATTCGTATTTTAGGTTCCAAGGGCATTATTATCACGTCAAAATATTTGTAATGACCAAATGAGACATGAAATCATATCTCTGATTCATACTCTATCAAAATATGAAAAAAAATTGGGAGTTCCCATCCATTCTGAAGAGTTACAATGAATTTTGTATAGGCATGTTTTTGCCCATGTATTGTGGTAAAGATAGACCTGCGTGCTGTCAACTTTGACGGACGCTCATTGCGTTATTACTGGTCAGAAAAAGGTGAACAAGGTACCAAAATGCTTGGGAAAATGTGCCAAATATGAAATCAGAGAAAATTTGGCGATTATATGTTGCAAAATGCCAGCACGCGTGAAAATGAGCGCGCAAATTTGAAATATTTTCAAAATGGCCTGAAAAGTGTGTAAAAAATTTTTGAGATGATTTAAAGCATTTTAAAATTTTGCGCACGCGCTGACATGCAGACGTACGCGTATGCACGCGCTTATTGACCTGTGATTGACCAGACGGATATTGACCTTGATCATGATAAATATGAATGAAAAATGACTTTCCATTATGGAGATATGATTAAGAGTTGAAAGTACAAAAACAAAAAAAATGGAGCCTGGATGACATCATGAAGACTTGATGACCTTGAAAATGCTTCTGTCACGTCTCATGACAAGGACCTATGACTGTGCCAAAATTGAAAGAAATTTACCAAACTGATCGTGAGTTATCCTCTACACAAAAAAGTGAAGGAAATAAAAATAAAGAATAAATAAATCAGAAAGAAAATTCTGACGAAATCAATAGGTGATCTGTCATTGACATGTGTATAAACTAGGATTTAGGTTACTTCAGTAATCTTTTTAAAATGAAATTTCATTATTGCATGAGTACCAGCCTAACACTCCCCTTCCACAAAATGTGGTTAATTAAACAAAACCAAACATACACTGCACATGAAAGACCCTTTTTATAATAATTTCCTTTGTCTGCTAAGACTATTATATATTATATATGAATTGTTTCATACCTTGCACATGCAAGACCCTCTTTATAATAATTTCCTTTATCTGCCAAGACTATTATACATTTTCATATAAAACCTTTCACACATTGAAAAAATATTGACTGTTGCCAAAATATAGTCGTTCAACTCATCTCCACTGCTACATGTGTACATGAATTTATCGTGGCAAGAACATAAGTACAACTGAAACACACATACATACCTGAAAGGTTGACGCCTTTGCATTCAGTGTAGAAAAGAACTCCTCCTGGAAATCCTTTCCCTGTAGTGTCAGGTCAGTCAGGCTTGGCATGGAGCACAACGCTGCTGCTAGGTGATGTGAAGAGGCTGATGTTGGGCAGCCAACATGTTGAAGTTGGAGAGTTAGGAGCTACATATATACAAACAGTGATTAATCCAATTACATTACCAGAGTACATGTTTTAGTTGAATGACTGCAAATATAATATGGAGCTCCAATGTACATGTATATAAGTATAAGCCTATGCTCAGGTGACAATTGCTCTGGGCCTGATGTGGTCAAATATTTAGGATTAAGATAAGGGTTGGATATAGGTTTGAGCTTAGGCTTTAAAGTGAAAGGTATACTTTTTGGTGCAGGACTAAAGCTAAGAATTTGGTGAGTGCAGGATAGGAAGCATGGACAAATTGTTGACGTAGCATGTGTCTAACGACAAGATTGATAATTACAGCCATAGAGCATTTAACTCTACATACTACATAGCGAGGCTTTCAAAGTATATATCCTACCAGGTACGCACTTACCAGACCTAGATTGAGTAGGGCGAATGCAGATTAATGTCATACCAAAAAACATTAGTGCTACATATTTGAACCCCATACCTCGTGGTCCATTGTCCAGAGACTTATTCACTAGACCACAAACACCTCTACACAAACCATGGTTGATGCCCATTATTTTAGAATGTATAGTGCTCGTATGATTGATTTTGATTTAAATAGAGCTGTATTTGTGTTTGGAGAATTCAATAAACAATGAAAGAACAATCGCTTTGTGGATTATTTAAACACATCTTTGACATTGCCTTAAAATACATTCATGACTAAAAGAATGCATTAGACATGAATGTAAAGAGTGTGTACATGTAACTGTGCTTTAAAAAAGGACACTGCGATCTAGATCTCCATCCTTGTTTAGTGAATATTGAGACCCATTTCAGACCCATGACGACATAATTCCAATACCTAATGAATTGCTTCAAACTGAACCATATACAAACTAGAAATTTAATTTGTCATGAGGACGAATTAGGTGGTCTATCTTTAATTCTTATGATCATGCTCATCTTCAATTCAATGATCCAATATATTGATCTTAATGTAAATTATGTATTAAGATATGAATTGATGAATGAAGTACTGATGGACTGATGAACTGATGAATGAACTTGTAGTGACCAAACTCGTTTTTACCATTTCAAAACTTGGTTTTTTATTTAAGAACACCGTACAGCATATTGGGAGTGTCTAATTTAAAACATACGTGTCAGACCCGAAGCCTCATTACTTTAATGGTCACGTGGGTCTGTGTACTTACGTTAAGGACAAAGTAGTCCCTTGATTATTTATCTATAAATTGTTTGTAGGTAAAGTTAAATGGACCGTAATGAAATAATGATATTTTCTCATGTATGTTTTATTGTTCTACCCTAAACTTGATTATTATACTTAGTTCAGAAGGATGTGCATTCATGCTCGAAAAGTAGTCCTTACGAATGCGCGCTATGTCAGGCAAGGCTCTGATGGGTATTTTATATAGCGGACATTCGTTCACTTGCTTTAAGCGATGCTGGTCTGTTTCCATTTACTCCTTCCGACACGCTTAAGCTTTGCCGTCAATGTAGCCTGTTTGTGTTGCACCATTTAAACAGCCGCTGAGGCGTAAGTTGAGGTTACTGAGGTTACAAACCACGCTACAAAGCTACAATTGACGATGACGTATGATTTTTCTTACCCGTGTGACATTTAGTCTAGGGGATTTCCGTTTTCCGTTTTTATTTATAAACGAAATAAACTTCATTTGCACTTCACCATGGCGTCTCAACTTCTTCATTTTTGTTGGCTATGATTTGAACCGTGGACCACGCGTTCCACAAACTGATAGATTGAACTGTGACCTGAACTGAACATCTGATCAAAAAACGGAAGGCACACTTACAATAGCTCATAGCATCAGCTATAACATACCATACTTAAATTTTTGGGGAAATAGAGCAAAAATAAGCGAGATACTGCTCAAAGAACAATGACATGTAGATGCATGACGTGAACGAAATTAACCTTCCATAGGCATAACACGCAAATTAAGAAAATTCTGATATGGCGCCTCTAATTGAAATTTTCATTATGATGACGTCATCAAAATGAAAAATACTGATCTTGTAGACAATCATTTTAGCTACAACATATCAAAATTTGGATGAAAATCGATCAGTATTTACAGAGATACAATCAATTTTCCATAAATATGCTGACGTCATAACATGCAAATTCGTATTTTAGGTTCCAAGGGCATTATTGTCACGTCAAAATATTTGTAATGACCAAATGAGACATGAAATCATATCTCTGATTCATACTCTATCAAAATATGAAAAAAAATTGGGAGTTCCCATCCATTCTGAAGAGTTACAATGAATTTTGTATAGGCATGTTTTTGCCCATGTATTGTGGTAAAGATAGACCTGCGTGCTGTCAACTCTGACGGACGCTCATTGCGTTATTACTGGTCAGAAAAAGGTGAACAAGGTTTCAAAATGCTTGGGAAAATGTGCGAAATATAATGTCAGAGAAAATTTGGCGATTATATGTTGCAAAATGCCAGCACGCGTGAAAATGCGCGCGCAAATTTGAAATATTTTTAAAATGGCCTGAAAAGTGTGTAAAAAAATTTTGAGATGATTTAAAGCATTTTTAAATTTCGCGCACGCGCTGACATGCAGACGTACGCGTATGCGCGGGCTTATTGACCTGAGATTGACCAGACGGATATTGACCTTGATCATGATAAATATGAATGAAAAATGACTTTCCATTATGGAGATATGATTAAGAGTTGAAAGTACAAAAAAAAAAAAAAATGGCGCCTGGATGACATCATGAAGACTTGTTGACCTTGAAAGTGCTTCTGTCACGTCTCATGACAAGGACCTTTGACTGTGCCAAAATTGAAAGAAATTTACCAAACTGATCGTGAGTTATCCTCTACACAAAAAAGTGAAGGAAATAAAAATAAAGAATAAATAAATCAGAAAGAAAATTCTGACGAAATCAATAGGTGATCTGTCATTGACATGTGTATAAACTAGGATTTAGGTTACTTCAGTAATCTTTTTAAAATGAAATTTCATTATTGCATAAGTACCAGCCTAACACTCCCCTTCCACAAAATGTGGTTAATTAAACAAAACCAAACATACACTGCACATGAAAGACCCTTTTTATAATAATTTCCTTTGTCTGCTAAGACTATTATATATTATATATGAATTGTTTCATACCTTGCACATGCAAGACCCTCTTTATAATAATTTCCTTTATCTGCCAAGACTATTATACATTTTCATATAAAACCTTTCACACATTGAAAAAATATTGACTGTTGCCAAAATATCATTAGTCGTTCAACTCATCTCCACTGCTACATGTGTACATGAATTTATCGTGGCAAGAACATAAGTACAACTGAAACACACATACATACCTGAAAGGTTGATGCCTTCGCATTCAGTGTAGAAAAGAACTCCTCCTGGAAATCCTTTCCCTGTAGTGTCAGGTCAGTCAGGCTTGGCATGGAGCACAACGCTGATGCTAGGTGATGTGAAGAGGCTGATGTTGGGCAGCCAACATGTTGAAGTTGGAGAGTTAGGAGCTACATATATACAAACAGTGATTAATCCAATTACATTACCAGAGTACATGTTTTAGTTGAATGACTGCAAATATAATATGGAGCTCCAATGTACATGTATTTAAGTATAAGCCTATGCTCAGGTGACAATTGCTCTGGGCCTTATGTGGTCAAATATTTAGGATTAAGATAAGGGTTGGATATAGGTTTGAGCTTAGGCTTTATAGTGAAAGGCATACTTTTTGGTGCAGGACTAAAGCTAAGAATTTGGTGAGTGCAGGATAGGAAGCATGGACAAATTGTTGACGTAGCATGTGTCTAACGACAGGATTGATAATTACAGCCATAGAGCATTTAACTCTACATACTACATAGCGAGGCTTTCAAAGTATATATCCTACCAGGTACGCACTTACCAGACCTAGATTGAGTAGGGCGAATGCAGATTAATGTCAGTGGCGGATCCAGGGGGGGGCCGAAACAGCCGCGGCCCCCCCTATTGGCGGCGTAAAAAAAAGAAGAAAAAAAAAGAGGAAGAAAAGAAGAGAAAAAAAGAAAGGAAAAGAGGAGAAAAAAAGGAGAAGAGAAAAGAAAGGAGAAGAGAAAGGAAAAAAGAAGAGAAAAGAAAAGAGAAAAGAAAAAGAAGAACCCCCCCCCCCTTTCTCCCTCCCACTCCGGGGTCGGAGGGACCGAATTTGTGTTCCCAAAATTTCCGATAAAGAGTTACTTTTCACGCAACAAAGTCCGGCCCGTAATACACAAAAATCCGGCCCGTACTGACTTTACACACCGAAGATAGAGGGGTGCTCTCAAAGAGAAGGAACATACATGTGCGTACGCTAGATAACACTGAGTGGGTTGGGGGGGGGGAGAGAAAAGTCGGGTGAGAAAGGGGGAAAGACAAGGAAATGGCGCTAAGTGACAGTAACGACGAACAAGGGAAAACTGTAATCGGGAGATTTGGGGTCATTCCAGAAGGCTTGGCAAACGTTATTGAATAGAGGGGGACCGGGCCGGCCGCATAAAATCTCGAGCCGCGGATTCAAATTTAAACGTTAAGAACAGCCCCTGCAGTCATCACTCTTTAGTGAGAAATTTGAAAAGGGCACAATAATTTAGATGTCTTTTAAATAGAAGTTATATACTCAACAGTCAAATTCTAAATTAACGGTAGGGCCGCTTCACAACTCTTATTTTGCCCTTCATTTGGATTCAGCTCATATCAACTCGCTTGTGCTTGTATTTAAACTCATGTTGGTAGTAATCATGGGCAGGGGCGGCAATCCTGGGCCCGTCCCCCAGGAAATTTAGAAATATGGCTAGAAAGAAATATAGCGGACAGAACGTACATATTGGGCTTAGGGATTTTCTAGAATGCATAATTTCAGCATTCAACATTGCAAAATCTCGCTTGGTCGCTACAACCAGGCCCTCGCCTGATAACACAAACCTTTGACGCTCCCGGCCGTGATTTATCCATGGTTGATGTAATATATCTTTTTTCCCATTCATTTCTACTAACCTAATTGTGTGCTATCACAACCATGATTGTTTCATTTTCGCTTTAAAGCAGGCGCGTAGCCAGGGGCGGTAGGGACAGTAAGAGGATATAGGACGAAAAAGGAGCAGACAAAGAAACATTTTTGAAAATTCTGACAAGTCGAGAACGGTACAACGAATCGTCTTCTTTTTTAATAATTTAATGAAACGTCACATTTCCGCGCTTCGCGCGGGAGGGGGAAAACTGAATTCAAACAAGGATTAAGAGACGAGAATGGTAAAACGATTGGTCTTCTTCCTCTAATAATTTAATGAACCGTCAATGCATACGCGCTACGCGCGGGCAGGGGAAAATGGCATTCAGACAAGGACTAAGAGTCAAGAATGGTACAAAGAATCGTCTCCTTTCCCTTATAATTTAATGAAACGTCAAAGCTTCCGCGCTTCACGCGGGAGGGGGGGACGGGAAATCAATTCAGAAAAGGATTAAGAGTCGAGAACAGTATAACGAATCGTCTTCTTTCTCTATTAATTTAATGAAACGTCAAAGCTTCCGCGCTTCGCGCGGGAGGGGGGGGGGCCTGAATTCAGTCAAGTAATAAGAGTCGAGAATGGTACAACAAATCTTCTTTCTCTAATAATTAATGAAAGGGCAAAACTTCCGCGCTTTGCGCGGGCGGGATAAAACTGAATTCAGACTAGGATTAAGAGTCGAGAATGGTACAACTAATCGTCTTCTTTCTCGAATAATTTAATGAAAGGTCAAAGCTTCCACGCTTCGCGCGAGAGGGGGTAAAACTGCGTTCAAACAAGGATTAAGAGTCGAGAATGTTACAACGAATCGTCTTGTTTCTCTAAAAATTTAATGAAACGTCAAAGCTTCCGCGCTTCGCGCGGGAGGGGGAAAACTGAATTCAAACAAGGAATACGAGTCGAGAATGGTAAAACGATTCGTCTTCTTCCTCTAATAATTTAATGAACGGTCAGAGCTTACGCGCTACCCGCGGGCAGGGGAAAATGGAATTCAGACAAGGATTAAGAGTCAAGAATGGTGCAAAGAATCGTCTCCTTTCCCTTATAATTTAATGAAACGTCAAAGCTTCCGCGCTTCACGCTGGAGGGGGGACGGGAACTCAATTCAGAAAAGGTTTAAGAGTCGAGAACAGTATAACGAATCGTCTTCTTTCTCTAATAATTTAATGAAACGTCAAAGCTTCCGCGCTTCGTGCGGGAGGGGGGGGGGGCCTGAATTCGGTCAAGTAATAAGAGTCGAGAATGGTACAACAAATCTTCTTTCTCTAATAATTAATGAAAGGGCAAAGCTTCCGCGCTTTGCGCGGGCGGGATAAAACTGAATTCAGACAAGGATTTAGATTCGAGAATATTTCAACTAATCGTCGCTTCTTTCTCGAATAATTTGATGAAAGGTCAAAGCTTCCACGCTTCGCGCGAGAGGGGGTAAAACTGCGTTCAAACAAGGATTAAGAGTCGAGAATGTTACAACGAATCGTCTTCTTTCTCTAACAATTTAATGAAACGTCAAAGCTTCGCGCGAGAGGGGGAAAACTGAATTCAGACAAGGAATACGAGTAGAGCCTGGGTAAAACGATTTGTCTTCTTCCTCTAATAATTTAATGAACCGTCAGAGCTTACGCGCTACGCGCGGGCAGGGGAAAATGGAATTCAGACAAGGATTAAAAGTCAAGAATGATACAAAGAATCGTCTCCTTTCCCTTATAATTTAATGAAACGTCAAAGCTTCCGCGCTTCACGCGGGAGGGGGGGACGGGAACTCAATTCAGAAAAGGATTAAGAGTCGAGAACAGTATAACGAATCGTCTTCTTTCTCTAATAATTTAATGAAACGTCAAAGCTTCCGCGCTTCGTGCGGGAGGGGGGGGGGCCTGAATTCGGTCAAGTAATAAGAGTCGAGAATGGTACAACAAATCTTCTTTCTCTAATAATTAATGAAAGGGCAAAGCTTCCGCGCTTTGCGCGGGCGGGATGAAACTGAATTCAGACAAGGATTAAGAGTCGAGAATGGAACAACTAATCGTCTTCTTTCTCGAATAATTTAATGAAAGGTCAAAGCTTCCGCGCTTCGCGCGGGAGGGGGAAAACTGAATTCAAACAAGGAATACGAGTCGAGAATGGTTAAACGATTCGTCTTCTTCCTCTAATAATTTAATGAACCGTCAGGGCTTACGCGCTACGCGCGGGCAGGGAAAAACTGAATTCAGATCGACAAGGATTAAGAGTCAAGAATGGTACAAAGAATCGTCTCCTTTCCCTTATAATTTAATGAAACGTCAAAGCTTCCGCGCTTTACGCGGGAGGGGGGACGGGAACTCAATTCAGACAAGGATTAAGAGTCGAGAACGGTACAACGAATAGTCTTCTTTCTCTAATAATTATTGAAAGGTCAAAGCTTCCGAGCTTCGCGCGTAATGGGGGGGGGGGGCAGCGAGCTGCCCGAATATGAGTTTCTGATACCTTTTCTCGTTTATTTTGGTGATAAATAACACTTTCACAAAAAACATATTATGCTCAGATTGTTGCTCGCTCACTAGCCGAATTGTGAAACCAGAAAATTACTTTTTCGGGCAAGACGCTATAGCCCCCCCCCCCCCCCCGATGAAGATGTCAAAAATTGTACCGGTATGGTGCTTCTAATATGACCTTGACAAACACGGTCTGCGCAATTTTTAAATTTCCGGCCCCCCCTATTGGAAAATCCTGGATCCGCGCCTGAATGTCATACCAAAAAACATTAGTGCTACGTATTTGAACCCCATACCTCGTGGTCCATTGTCCAGAGACTTATTCACTAGACCACAAACACCTCTACACGAACCATGGATGTTGCCCATTACTTTAGAATGTATAGTGCTCGTATGATTGATTTTGATTTAAATAGAGCTGTATTTGCGTTTGGAGAATTCAATAAACAATGAAAGAACAATCGCTTTGTGGATTATTTAAACACATCTTTGACATTGCCTTAAAATACATTCATGACTAAAAGAATGCATTAGACATGAATGTATAGAGTGTGTACATGTAACTGTGCTTTAAAAAAGGACACTGCGATCTAGATTTCCATCCTTGTTTAGTGAATATTGAAGTTTCATCCATGTCACAATTGAGTATGGAGGTCGGAGAGGAAATTCCACTGCTCATTATCTCGCCAATCTTCTACATTTCCTCCACACCAATGCTGATCGGCTTAAATATTATTAGTCCTTTAACTTATCTGCGCTGCTACATGTGTACATGAATTTATCATGGCAAGTATATAAATTACAAACACACATACATACCTGCATGGTTGACGCCTTTGCATTCAGTGTAGAATAGAACTCCTCCTTTAAATCCTTTCCACTTAGTGTCAGGTTAGTCAGGCTTGGCATGGAGCCCAAAGCCTCTGCTAGGTGATGTGAAGAGGCTGGTGTTTGACACCTAACATTAAGTAGCTTGAGGATTTCGACCTACATGTATGCAAACAGTGATTCACACGAGTACATTACCAGAGTAAATGTTTTTACTGAATGACTGCAAATATAACTGGGTGATCCGATATATGCATGTATATGTATGGCTATGCTCAAGTGACAAATGCTCTGGGCTTTATTTAGTCAAATATATACAATTTGGATAGGGGCTGCAAATAGGTTTGAGCTTAGTTTTAGTGATAGGTATACTTCTTGGTGCAGGGATAAAGTGAAATATTCTGTTAGTGCAGGATAGTTAGCACAGAAAAAATGTTGACAGAGCATGTGTCGAACGACAGGAAGACTGAGAAGTACAGCCAAAGATGAAAGTGCATTCAATTAGGTACTGCAGGGATTCGAACCCCATACCTGATGGCTAACTGTCCAGAGACTTATCCTCTGGACCACTTACGCCTCTATGTGAACCTTGGTTGATGTTCATCATGTTAGAATGTATATTAATTCATATGACTGGTTTTATTAAATAGAGCTGCATTTGGGTTCAGAGAATCAAATACATAATGAAAGAACTACCGCTTTGTTGATTTTTTAGACACATCAGTGACATTGCAAAATGCTATACATTCTTGACTGAAAGCATCATTCTACATGAATGTACATGTAGCTGTGTTCAAAAGTACACTGTAATCTAGATTTAGAAATGAAATGTTCATTGCATAATTATAGTAATGATAATAACAAAAATGATAGTAATAACAAGAAGAACAACAACGTCTAATCAAGTTGCAATATGTATTGGAAAGTATTTGAATAATACAAGAAGTATTATATAACGACAACAGTCACTAACAGTACATGTATATATGTTCTGAGTCTGACAGCCCTCCCCCCCCCCCCCCCCCCAATAGGTTAGACTACGATATTACAATATATATTTTCACTCACCTTGGACTTGTTTCCTTCTTTAGCAAGAACTGCGTAAAAGTCACTGTGGATGGATGCTTTAAAAAGTCTAACCTCCTTTAGAGAGGGAGCCGAGCATATAATCTCCACGAAATTGTGTGATATAGTTGGTCCAAATTCTCTATAAGACACATCAAGGGCGTTCTTTAAACAAACAAAAAATTTAAAAATTAAAAATTAAACACAAAATGATATGAGAAAATTGCTAAAGTTTGATGTACCGTATGTATACTTACCACATCTAAATGTATTCCAGTGAATACTAAAGCTGCAACAGTGTGTGCTTCCATAGAAAAGGTGCTTATGCTGAACGGAGGGAACCCTGCACCCCTCACCAAGGCTGCAGTATCTAGGTCCTGACTCTCAAAGGATACATCAACCAAGAAGTTCTTGTCCTGTCTGGTTCTGAAATTAGCTTGCAGTTGTGCCATGCATTTCATGACATGGTTTGCAATGGTTTTGTCCTTTGATACAGTGAAGTAAAGGAGATACCTAAACTCTTCTTTCCTAGGCAACACTACTTGCTCAATCAGCCTGTTGAATTCATTGCGATCTAAATCATACAGGGAAGCAAGATGGCCCCCAGCCATGTACTCCTGAAAGAGTTTGTGTGGAAAGAAGATAGTAGACTGCAGGTACGGACTGCTCTTATCATATACAGATGACAATCTTTTCTCCTGAGACAACACTCCTAATCTGTAAGCTGTTTCCAAGGAGTCTGAGCACTGTTCAAAATCATCTTCTCTGAAAATGAGGGTGTTTTCTTGTAGCCCGTTGAAAGCAACTTTGGCAACTGGTTTCATGGACTTCTCAATTTGAGAGAGATATGCTTGGAATGATGGGCTGGCTAAATCTGTGATTGCTTTCTGAGCACAATACACCTTCAAGAATTCAAACATTTCATCAAATATTTGAGAAAAAGTTTGAAATGACCTAAACTTTTCTCGTTTTACGGCACCAAGCTTTCTCCACATAAGACAGAGCATAGCTATGTAAATAGGATACGGGGCCATATTCTGAGATATGATGTCATTGTCTTTGGTTAATTGAATAAGCTCATCTGCTGTGGCCACATCATCTTCAAAGTACTTTTTAATGTACACCTCCACATTCTCCTTGGTAAAACCTTCCACATGAATGAATGTGTACAGTTTCCTTAGACTAACATCACATCTAATCTCATCGACCTTCCATGGGCGACTTGTCACCAACACCGGGCAAGCATTAAGTTCATCTGAACAAAGAATGTCTGTAAGTGCAATGTCACCTCTTTCCGAAGAACTTCCTCTTGCCTTGGTTTGATCGGCAGACTTTGGCTTTGAACCAGCATTCCTTTGCTGTATAACCTTGCCACCAAACTCATCTAATCCATCAAACGCAATGAAGACATCTTTGGGATTTGAGCGGATGTAATCAGTGATCTGGCAGGCTGTTGCTGGGTTGTCCTTGGAGAGATATGACTTGGCAATCTCACCGATTGTGTATTGCTTGGCTTCATGAAGAGGGACAACAAGTACCCACTTGAAATTTGGGACAACAGGCCTGTTATTTATCCAGTCCCAGGCAATCTTAGCACAGAATGTTGTCTTTCCAGTGCCAGCTTCTCCCTGAATCACGATCCGCTTGGGGAACTCTCCATTGACTTCGAGATCAAAGAGATCCCTGTACTCAAGTGGTCGCCTGCGTTTTCGGTATCCCTCTTCCAGGACAAGGTTTGTGTACATGTCTTTGAATTGCACAATGGAATCAGGGTCGAGAGGATCAGCTCTGATCTTACAGAGAGTTGTCCGGTACTTGAATTTGAAATCATCTGCACATCTCTTGATCAGGTGAGGAGAAAGTGGTTGGGTCTGTGATACTGGCAATGTAGCAGGTGCACCTTTAAATCAATAAAATAAGTGTGACAAGTTAACTTAATCTTTAAGATCACCAGAATTTTTTTGCTAAATATATCAAAATTTTTCATTTGAGGATATTCATAACAGTACACATGAACACAAAGTAATTTCTATTGTATCTATTGTTTTTCAACTTTAAATTTATAGTGAATGCATGACATGTCTATGTTTCTTTTCTTTTTTAACTTAAAAATATCTCAATAGAAATTGTCTTTTTGATTAAAAGTATAAACATGTTAACAAGACGGGTTCTAGAATCTACAGTACACGCTGAAAATCTCTGCAACACAATATATTTTTTGGATTACACAGTTTACAACATTCACCTGAATCGTGTAACTGTGTAATCCTGTAGATTTACACGATTGAAGACTGTCGCTTTGAATCATGTAATCGTGTAAATAGTTATAATGGTTATATAAAGGCATTGGAAGGATGACAGTATAGAGCATATCATATTATATCATGTTCACTTCCTTTTCTGTGTGCACATAAAACGCACGAGTGCCTGCATATTAATTTCCTCCACGTTTACGCCACTTTTTTGGATTTCTATTAAAAGATAGTTTACGTGTAGAGGGGGATAGACAATTGGAATTAAAGAAAAACTTTCTGTGTATAAAATACATGTTAGTATTTTTTTTTTAACAAGTTAACAAAAGAAAGGAAAAAAAAATATGTAATGAGATTAATATATGAATCAAACCACACAGTACAAAAGTGTATGTATATGTAGTTATAGAGGTAAATATTTATCTGTATGTGTGTGTATGTATGTGTATAAATATATATATATATATAGGTATACAAATAAATATTTTTTTCAAAATCCAAGCACAGCGCGAAAGGCAAAAATAGTCAATTTTGACTGAATTGCCTTAAATCTAATCCAAAAAAAGATTCGACCAGCTGCAATAATCTGTTAATCGTGTCTTGCTTTCACCACTCCCTCATCACTTTCTACTAACCTGCACCATGAGACAAGGTAGGAAAACGTCAGAAAGAAGAAGACATGATATATGAAAAGTACAGGAAAAAAGATAGCTACGAGGAGAAGGGAACAAATAAAAGGAAAATCAGCGTAGAAATGGCACGATAAAGATAAGAAGAAAAACTATGCAAGAGAGAAAAAAGGAAAACTAAAAAAAAGTTGATCGGAAGAAAAGAAGGGCGTAACATAGTGAAATAAATAGAAATGAGAAGTAGAAAGGCTTTAAAACGAAGAGGAAAAGAGAAAAATAAAAAAGATAAGAGTGGAACACAATGAAAGAAAGAGAGGCGAGAAAGAAAGAGGGGGCAGTGAAAAGAAATTGAGAGAGAGAGAGAGAGAGGGAGAGGGATGAAAAAAGCATTAGTTGAAAGAAAAGGGGCACTGATCAGATTTTAATAGGGGCATTAATCAGAGTTGGGGGGCACTTGGGTACTTCTCATACCTAAAGAGGGATAATACTTAATTGAGATTAAAAAGGACACTTATGAGAATAGAAAATGGACACTTATTGTAAAGGGAAATAGGAACTTGTCAAAGGAAAAGGGGCGCTTGTCAAAAAAATAAAAATAAATGAAAGTGTCAAAATGAAAGGGGCATTTGTCAGAGTTGAAAAGGGGAAGTTGCACTTTTACAAATGAATACGGGCACTTGTCAAAGTAAAATGGGGACTTTTCCTATAAATAAAGGGGCACTTTTGGGATTCTTGAAAAAGTGGGGGGGGGGGGGTGGGCACCGTACCGCTAGCTAAACGTAACACAAAACCAGTTGGTCATTCACTTATTATATTCATTCTCTTTTTGCTACTGCTTCCTGTATTCTGTAGCCAGTGGCTTAGATCAGAACGTAATACCTATTGTTCAGGAGATCCTATGTTCAAAGGGGATCCCCCTGAACAACAGGTATTATGTAAGCATCTCTCTCTGTAGCTAGGGCAACGCCCCCGGTGAGAGTCGATGGCAGGCCACATTTAGAGTAAGCTTCTTTTGTATGTGACAGGAAGTGTGCTATTAAGTCTTGACCATAGTTTTTCATACATGTAGCTGAAAGCAATGTTGTTAAATGTAATTTACGAAAAGGAGGAAAGCCAAAAAATGGAAACCCAAAATAATAAAACATAAAAGGGGAAGGGGCACTTTTACAAATGAATAGGGGCACTCGTCAAAGTAAAAGGGGGATTTTTCCTATCTACAAAGGGGTACTTCTTACAAGGTTGAAATGGCACTTTTTCTATGTAAAAAGAAGCACTTTTGGGGTACTTGAAAAATTGTAGGGGGGCACTGTACCACTGGCTAAATGTAACACAAAGACAGTTGGCCACTCACTTATTCTATTCATTGTCGGCTTGCACCGTAAATTTTACATCTAAAAAAAAGGAAAAAAAGACGGGCCCCCACCCCCTGGGAAAAAACAAGTCTCATAAAAGATTACCACAATTTTACCTTTTTATTTTTTGCTCAAGGGGGGGGGGGGTGGTTGTTGAGTAAAACAAAAATAGTGCTCACTACCCCCACCCCCTCACACTTATGCGCTGCTGAATATTTTTTCATGAATTGGGCCCCCCTTCCTCACCACTGGCTGGATGCGCCCCTATCGTGTAGCCAGTGGCATAGATCCTTTGGGGGAGACCGGGATAGTATTACTGTAACACCTTTTTCCAATTCTGAAATAAAATTCTGACATTTCAACTTTATTATAGTTATATAGGCTACTTGCTTAAAGGTATATGAAATGAAAGATGCATTTCCTGGCTTGCAATATGACTAGGTTTGAGTTAAGTAAAACAAGTTATTATCAAGCCATTATCATTTCAATACCGGTAGTCAAGTGTTACAATTGCCCCACAACACGAGGCAATTGTAACACACCCATGGGGCAATTCTAACCAAATACAGCTGTACCTACAAATCATATATCCCTCAGAAAAATAAGATTTTTCTTTTTCTTTTTTTCCCCAAAGATTATGCGCTGGATAGATTTTCATCAATTATACACTATTTTAAAGAACCCCAATAAAAAAAAAAATGAAAAAAATATGTCTATGACATATGCTTGACTCATCTACATTATATTTTTTCCAGTTACGTGGGGAGATTTATACTAGTTACATTTGCGCCCTAGGAGGGCGGCCATACTTTTTATTGTTTGTATCCTAGCATTAAATTTCGTCCTTGAAACTTCGCCTAATACAGGGCCTAAAATCTTATTTTTTGAGAATATAAAAATGACATTTTTTATTTTTTTTTATTTTAGGTAATTGAAGATTTTACTCCCGTGCTAAAAACTTGACGTCTTGAACTCGTATTGCATCACGTTCATAAAATATATCATACTAGGTCGAATCATTATATTCCTTTCAACTTCGATCTTGTTATTGACTCACATGATTATAATACAAGAAAAAGCTGATTCAACTTTAACTTGCCAGAAAGAGTAGGTAGTATTAGTAATTCTTCCTCCTAGCTCCTCCTCTTTTTCTATTCTCCTTTTTATTTTCTTCTTGTACTTATCATCAATTCTATCATCAGTTCAATGTTGTTATTATCATTATCATCATTATTATCTTTAATAAGTTTGTTTTTCTTTTTCTTATCAGTCTGTAAATATTACTATTTTAACTTATTAATTGTGTGCATGTCTGTAGGGAACCCCACTGGAAATAAGCTCTCGAGTGTTATCCTGTTCAAGCTGACTTAATTTTGACCTGTTATTCTTGTATATAGTTGTATATTTATACACATAGCGCGTTTCTACTGTAGGGGTGGGAGCCGCAGTTACATTTGCCCCTTGTTACTTTTATCCCCTTGAACATAGGACCCCCTGAACAATAGGTTTTATGTAAGGATCTACAACATTATCTGTAGCTAGGGCAATGCCCTTTGTCCCCGGCGAGGGTCAAATGGCAGGCTACATTCAGAGTAAGCTTCCGTTGTATGTGACAGGAAGTGTGCCATTAATCCTTGACCGTGGCTCTTCATACATGTAGCTGAATGCAATGTTGTAAAAGTTAATTTACAAAAATGAGGAAAGTCAAAATTTGCAATAAGTAATCAAAGTGTAATTGTTTGTGACCTTTTTCAAGCTGCCAATGACGTCAAACATATCAGCCAAGGCCGGGAACTCTTGTGGGGGAAAATGACGCCCCTCGCACTCTCATGGATAATGACGGAATAAAATACATAGTATAACAAAATTTTTAGTAACGAATGAGCTGGTGAACATAGCTGCCTTGTAATGTAAAAGTATCACAACATACTAAGTTTTGTTAGCCCTCCTTCCTTTGTCGTTCATCACTTTTTTTTTTCTCACCGAGGATTAAATCCGTAAGTGTTTTTCGGGAACTGAACTTATTTTTTCATTTTCAAACAGTCTAAAATTAATCTAGAGACACACACCGCAATTAAAAATATATAAGAGAGATAGAATGTGTAATCTTCGCTCTCCCCCTCTTCCCCGTTGTCTTCGTTCAACCCTCCCCCCCCCCCCTCAGCTGTTGGCTATTCCTGCTTCTAATGAACTAGAAATCGTAATCTGCTCAATATTACCACTGAAAATAAATTGTTACACAATTCCAGCGAGCAATCGCTCATGTGTTAGGGCAGTTCCAGTGCACTCAGGTAATAGTCAGCGCGATATCGATAGGCGTAAAAAATAACGATACCAGCTGGCTGCAGCCTCACGTGATGGCTGATCGAGGCTGCAATTCCAGTTGGAGCCTGACAGGGCAATTAATTTTCACTTATTAGCCCAGCCGGCTTGTACCAGGCTGGGCTCTGAGTTTTACCCCGGACTCTTTCATCAGCCTATCCTCCCCCGCCTGCCACCATGCTCCATAATTTGCTCAGCCAGCTGCCGCCGAACGTAGGTTCTTAAAGTTGCAACTTTAAAGTTGGCAGCTGGTGGCCGCCGTATGGAGATACTTAAAGTTGTAGCTGGCAACAGCCAGACGAAAATGCTTGAAGTTGCAACTTGTTGCATCGTACTGAGCTCAAACATGGAGCTTATTTTTTTATTGTGACGTCATTTAAAGCTATGTTTACATTTCTCTTCCCGGCAGCCTTTGTGGACACAACGGGATGGACGTGAAGCAACGAGGGGGAAGGATACCGTGATAGACCTTGACAAAAACTTAGCAGCACCTAACAAATCTTGAATACGGACCACTATGTTTCAGGCAAACGAGGCTGCCATGGCGCTGGGAACATAGTTGAGACGTAGCTTTAAGGGCGATTGTTTACTTGCCTGTTCACAGCAAATCGCACCTTTTTTGTGTGACTTGGTACGTTTGTTACAAAAAGGACAATGGTCTTGATGTAGAGCCATGTCGTGGCTACAACCGCAGCAAAAAAATAATAAAATAAAATAATAATAGTAATAACAAAAATAATTCTCTGGAAAACCCTCATGTATTTCTATTTGCCATTAGAAATTGGCTTAAAGGTACTATGACATCAAACCCCCTCAAATTCAAATTTTAACTGTTGTACTGTAAATTTTTATCGTGAATCTGATGATGAAAACAATTTCCAGTCATTTTCAATCACTCAGCTGCAAAATGAGAAAAAGAAATATGCTTGGGAACGCCCCCTGAAATTGTTGACGCTGGGTTGCGATTACGTAATCCCCTGTGACGTCAGCGGGAGAACACAAACTGGGCTTGAGTGAGAGTAAAATGCGTGATTGTATTGGCATTGTGCGTTGATTTGTAAAACTACGGACTGAACTGAACATTGCTGCTTTGGAAGTTTCTTTTTTCTGGGAAAATGGATCACTTGTGTGAGGGTGACAACGAGGATGGATTCTTTGTCTGACAGAGAAGAAAATCTGCCTGAGTTTGAAGAGGAACTTGAGGGAAAAGGTGAAGTTCCTGCTGCTACTGAGCTGCGCCTGGTTTATTCATTGCCTACACTACAGTTTCAGCCTGCCTTTCCAGATGCAGTGAGACTGAGAGAAGTTGAAACAATTAATTTTGTCGGCGTTCGTGATAATCAGGAAGACATTGAAGAAAGACTTGGCCACAATCATTGGTGAGAATGATGTAAATAGCTATATATAGGAGCATTTATAGTTATTAAATTAGTATTTGGGTTGAGACAATCGGCACTATTCACATGCGATGCGATGTACCCGGTGATGCTGCAGCCGCTAGCCGTAGGCCTACACCACCCAGCTGCGGGGTGGTACTGGAGGCCGGAGTGCGTGGCATGGCTTACGTAATGAAACTGTCACTGACTGAACTGAGCTGACCGAGCTCCGAGCCAGGATTTGCGACACCAATCAAAACAATACTCGAGCCTTTGTATCGTATGATTGGCTTTTAAGTTCTATTTACTTTCGATCTAGATTATTGAAGAAAAAAAAAAAATTCAAAAAAAAAAACTCACAGAGTCTAGGGGACTATAGTCTGCAATGAAATGTTAATTCTGAAACTAATAACATCTTGAGTCAAACATTTACTGGATACATCATGTACATGTCCTATTTTTCACACGATTTTAGCGCAGACAAGATTAGATATACAAAATAAACAACTTTTTGTTTATACATTCATTCAGGTGTTCATGCAGTCGATCATGGAGGCTGCTTTGCAATGCTGAAGGTCGCGGAGACCATCTGCTTCAAAGAAGTTCCCAGTTCACGCACGCGCAGACAATGGTATGGGCCGGTGGAGTTATACTGCATCACAGACCGTCCTGGTTTCAGGAGTGTTTGTCTAGAGTACAGGGGGGTACGTGAGACTGCCTTTTACCAGTACCGCCAGCATATACGGCCAACAAGCATGACAAGATGCCACTGAAAATGAGTGAGTGTACATACATTTTAGTTCCAAGGTGGGATTTCGTTATAACAAACTCCTTGGACCAGAAAAACTACCTGTTTTATCGAAACCATGTTATAACATCAGGGCTAAAACACAATAGAATACAAAGAAGTTGGACCAGAAAATTAACAATAGTTTGTTAGATATATCTCATTAAGGTTCACTGTACAGGCACAATTTTTCGGGAGGGGGGGGGGGTGCCAAATTATTGAATTCAATATGTATCATAACTATGTCATCAAGATTTTCTAGATGAGACATTAAACAATATTAGTGATTCTCTGTTACAAAGTTCGTACCCCACTGTTCGTGTCCCTCCCCCATCGCTGCCTCACAGACTTCATTATTCATGTATATATTGTAAAATAAAAATGGTGCAAAGTATTAAAACGGATATGATTGATAGAAGTGGCGGTTGTTGCATTCCATGGTCACATGCCATCACTGCTTATGCGTCAAATTGCAGTGACGTTCCTAATAGTAGATGCAATTTTAAAGGAAAATTAAAGTTGAATGATATTGAGTGGAGATAAATGGGAAATTTCCCTTTTATTTCTGTACATGTATATATTTGTCTTGTCATAACTGTTATAGATAGGAGGTAGATGAATACTATCCCTAATGGTTTGTGTGTTTTGTTTTTGTTTTTTCATTGCAAGATAAACAGACACGCTGCCTATCGTCAGCTAGCTAGATGGTGTTGGGGATACCTGGGAAGATCAGTGCAAGTTTCACTGCTGTCCTGCGTTGTACCTCAGATCCGGACAACTTTACTTTCCTCAGAATACAGAGGATTTGAAGAGGAATATACAGATATTTGTTGGGCATGGGGGTGTAGTGTGATTCATTCAAGACATGGATGTTTGCTTTTCATTTTTTAAATTTATTTTGAAGGTGACATTGATATGTTACTTACTTTTCTAACATTGTGGCTAAAGTAATTTATCTTAGTTTAATGCGTTACAAAGCTTACTAAAAAGGGATACCCGTAAGTTTTTGAATTTCCACATGATATAAATACCTTCTAGAGCTATAGGTTATCTTCATTTGTAAATGCTTCTTATCTCCTCAAGATTATGTATTTATTTATTTATTATTATTATTATATTTCCTCGGGGGGGGGGAATTCTTTCAAATTAAACTTGCGATCTACTGTCTGTAGGTTTAAAGTAGATATATGAACTCTCAAAAGGGTTAATTCATCCTAGAGCACTTATTTGCTGTCAGCCAATGTTTTCCGTTTAGAGCTATAAAATACGGGAAAGTAAATGTGTTCTCTTATAATAACTACTTATTTTCGTATGATATATTACAGCTACATATTGTACTAAAGAATATCTCATTTGCCTCGTCTCTCAGTTGATGCCCACAATATATGAGTTGATTATTATTGTACTATGAAGGAGGTAGACCACACTTGTCCTAACCTGCATAGTGTACAGTTCAGCAGTCTTTCTTGTAGAACAATTTCCCACCAGGTGTTAAAGGTACTACATAGGTGAACGTTTTCAATAGTTGTCATTTTTAGAGGAATAAAGGATGAAACTGCAAGGTAATCATTACTTCCGTGCCTCTTGTTTTCTGATGCACTGTGGGATAAATATTTCAGCATGTGTTTTCTTGTGTTTTATACCTTAAAATGCATCGGTAAATTCAGTATAATTCAATCAGTTCTTTTGTAAATCGTAAGTAAATACTAGAAAGTAAATAGATAGTTAGATACATGTCCGACATATTCAAATTGATTTTGTATTTATTAAGTCTGTGATTACCCCATCGTTTTATGCTGTTTAGGGTCAAGACAAGACAGAGAAACTAAATGGCAATTTGAAACTTTATTAGCTAATATGGGAATTAGAAGTGTAAAGTACATGCACCATTTCATGATGTAGCTATTATAGGACAAATCAACCTTCCAAATGGTTTATATACTTTTTGTGTATTTTTCTTCCATGTCTTTCACGCAAAGCAACATCTTACATACACTCACTCTTAGTTTCAGTTAATGTGATAAATTAAAGTTGACCAATCCCCCAAATATATATTGTGCTTTCTTTTTATCTGTTACTTTCTTCATACTCCTAAAATGTTAACCCTAACAATGCTTCATAGTTGTTGCAGTTTATTTTATTCAAAGTAAATATAACACATACTATTTCATTCAAGTGATTGGTCCTCTTGCAATCTTGCTTACATTACTTTTCACATGATTAGTACACAATGAGTGCATTGAATTCAGGATGGAAGAGCAGAGAGGTATAGAACGAGATGCAACGAGATATTGTGTGTGTGTGAGAGAGAGAGAGAGATTGCAAATGCAAGAGATAAAGATAGGAAAAAATATTGCAAGAGATCCGGACAGAGTCATTTCCAGAGAAAAAAAAAAAAAAATGTGAAATTCCCCCTACATTTTCAAACCAAGCTATTAGGCACTGACTGGCAGGGGGTAATATTTTTTGGACCGCTGAAGGGAGTTTTATTTTTTTCTCCAAGTGGTTGAGGGAAAATAAAAACTGTAGGCCTACCATAAGAACTTCGAAAAATTGAAAGAGGAACAATAAATTAATTGAATTGAATGTTCAATGCTGAAGATGGCATGCACCCCATCATCAAAATCACAATCGTCGAAATCTGCACTGTACACTACACAGGAGCCTATGCATGGGGCCACTCCAACTTGCCCGAGTCAACTTCACTTTAGCTGTAAAAATTTTACTCAAATTCGGGTCTTTGGGGGAAAGATGTAGGCTTACACCGTCCTGATTCGTATTACAGCAGCCATCCACGATACACCTCGACGGCATTGTGAAATTCAAAGGAAAATATCAAGAAAATTGCCGGAAGAATCAAACTTTTTCGTTAAAAAAAAAAAGTTGCAACGCTAAAGCACATAAACACAATGGAGAAAAACTTTCGCGCAATGCAGCAGAAGGTCGGAAGATTCTCCCAATGACGTAGTGTCACGTGACTTGCGAGATCGCTGAGTTTGGGGCAATTTTGGGAGGCGGGGCTTAGGAGCGTGGGAAATCATGTAATTTATGAAGGAAAAACACTGTAACTCATTAACCGTTCATTCGAAAAATTCCAAAAAACGAGAGATTGATTATATTGGTATCTTCTACACGATGAGAATCATGAACATTTGTATTGCAGAGGACCTTTAAGATGCAACGTGCCTGTTACGAGGAATGTTTTCCTGTTAAACCAAAGTTCCTGCAAAAGAAGTGAGTTTGCTCAAAGTATAAATATAAGATGAAATTTAGCCAATTTAATTTACATTAGTTACATGGTTAATTGAATGGTATAGATTAATGTGAGTTAATACGTATGAGAGCGCGCATGAATGACGTGTCACATTGTAGATTTGTTATCGATAGTGGGCGTGTGTAACACGTTGGATTAATGGTTTAAAATGACATAGAAGAGCAATGACATCAGCGCTCAAAATACACGGGGGCGATGGGCGATTCGCCCCCGTGAGCTCTATAATCGCCCGTCAGGTTGCTCACGAGGGCGATTGCAAAATAAAAAATCGCCCCCATGGAATTATCAAAAAAAGGTATCTTTTCTGATATAACTTTAACACAATATTGAGTATCAATTTTCAAACCTTAAACTAATAAAATGGAACTAAGATGGCGCTTTCTCTCCCATCTCTATGAGTATTACCGATACAAAGAACGGAAGCTCGCAGTCAAGCTAATGCGGCCGTCAGTAGGTAGTGACTATACTGCGCCGGTAGTACCGGTATGCACACTGACGCCCAATATCTGCAGGAGCTGGAGACGATCGCGCAAGGACTGAAACATGGAGAAGTTTATCGTTGTGAAAAGTGTGAATCCTCTGAAATCTGGTTATTCTAAAAGACCAGCAAATAATGTAACTCGATCATTAAATCAATATTGAGAAGATCACCAATGCAGGGGCGGATCTAGGCGGTTTAGGGGGTTTACCCCCCCCCCCTTGGGGCTGCCAAGTGAAAATGTGATGTGCATAGAAAAATGCTATCATGTGTCCAGACCTCAGGCGCAGATCCACGAGCCCAATTCTTTCGGCCCGGCTATGGCAAGCCCTTTGTGTAAAAACTAGATAAACTCTGTTTTTCTCAGATAAACTGTGTTTTTTCCAGATAAACTCAGTTTATCAACAGATAAACACAGTTTATCAGAAAAACTCAGTTTATCAGTTGATAAACTCAGTTTATCAGTTGATAAACTCAGTTTATCAGTTGATAAACTCAGTTTATCAGTTGATAAACTCAGTTTATCAAGAAAAACTCAGTTTATCAATGATAAACTCAGTTTATCAACAGATAAACAGAGTTTATCAGTTGATAAACTCAGTTTATCAGAAAAACTCAGTTTATCAGTTGGTAAACTGAGTTTATCATTGATAAACACAGTTTTTCTGATAAACTGAGTTTATCTAGTTTTTACACAATGGGCTTGCCATAGCCGGGCCGGAAGAATTGGGCTCGTGGATCCGCGCCTGCCAGACCTACACAGTGTTAGTAGATGTCAGTAGATGCAAGGAAAACATCTCTAACGGGAGTTCAAAATAGCACCAAATAATCGCCTCGCCGCTTTGCGGCTCGTGGATGATGCTCCACACCGTATTTGGGTTACCCCCACGCTTAGCAAAAAGCTAGATCCGTCCCTGTGTTTTGGAAGGATATGGTAAAGACTAAAAGTAAAGAAAGAATGTAAATAAGGTTGCTCCGAATAATAAGGAGGACATTATGTGCAGAACGGGAAGAAATGGAGAGAATGTCATCACGGGATAAAAGTCAATATTTCTAAGAGAGAAAATGCTGATTTAAATAATGATAATGATAAAATACCAAGGAATTTAGGAGTTTCATGGGTACCAATTCAATGGAAATTTGTATTAAAATAAGAGCCCCTGTCAGCACTAAAAGAGCCCCCGTGAGAATCCAGTTAGAATTGTAGAGAACAAATATAGCGTGTGTTACGAGTAAATCCT